CTGCAATTGATGATGGCCCAATATTGAAATTTCCAACAGAATTGCAAACAGCGATTGTAACTTTTCGTTTTCCACTAAATCACTGATCTCTAACCACTAAACCAGACAGGTTTTTGGACATCATGCCCATACCATACCATGCAAGGACTCATTCCAGTGGATGGTTTATCAAATTAAATCATTATATGCTCTTCTCTTTCAATGATCTCTATAGGCCTAGCTATAGGCTGCTTCATTCATAATGTTTTCACATACATTTACTGCCACTTCCTCAAGATTTTTTAACTGTTTGCTGTAAGGTGACTTTCAGACAGTGTTTGGAAGACTCATAAGCCAAAAAATCTCTCCAACCCAGCACATTCAGTTTCTAGTAAAGCAACAACTGATCTACAGTTTATTTCATATGTGGTATGTCCCCCTTTCTTGTCTGCCCTCTTAGATCCACTGAGCTTTTCACTGGTCTCAAGTGGTGAACTTGTATGACAATGGCTACATACAAGAGAATATTTCTCTGCAAGGCCAAACTTATTGCTAAACTAGAGGCCAAACTAAGCAGCAGGCTTAACTGTGGCTTTGGATTCCTACATGTACGACAAACAGCAATTTTGTTGATTGCATTCATCAAAAGTTTCTTATCTATAAGGCTGTAGCCATCGTCTCGTCAGCACTGCCAATATTGCTAGCAGCAGCATCCTTCGTTTCTTTTATCCGGAAATTGGTCTTTTTATGGGACTAAGGTTTTCTGAACCAAAGAAAGAGTTCATAAGTTTATAAAGTGAAGCACTGTGTTCCTCTAATTCTTTGCTTTGATCCGTTGTTGCTTGTGAAGACGAGGTAGGCAGTACATCTTCATCACCTTTTCGCTTTGGCCTAAGTAATCCAAATCCATGTCATTGCTTCGAATACATAGTTTTTTCTACTTCCAGCAGATCTTTTTCTGTTCTTCGCTTTACCGACCTAAATTTTCGATTAAAAGCTCTCTTTTCAGGGCGTTCATTGTCGGATAAGTTTGCTTCATAAACAGAAGGACTCTTCGAACAACTTTCGTTGGCCAGGCCCAACAGAAACTATGCTTCATTCGTTCCCTGTGCTTTTTAAAGTGGTATAAATGCATTTTGGGATATGGTAGAAGACCATAGATTACGTAATATAATTTTTTTTCAAAAACGGGTCCCATGGGTATCAACAGACCCCCTAGCAACCGATAGAAACTTGGTTGCTAAGGAAAGATGATCAACCCAGGAGATAAATAAATCAAATTTTCGCAAAAACTACAACAGTTACGGGAAAACTTCCTTCAAAATCAAATTTTGCTGTAATTTTCCTGATCATATCCAAGGAAAAAGGAATTTTGACAAAATTTTCATAACTGACCATTTTCATGGTAGACTGCTACCTTAAATTACCACGACAAATTCGTACTTTTGGTAGTGATTAATTAAATGCTCATAAAGAAATTCCTACTAAAATAAACAAGGTCATTTGATAATGTCTTCTTATTTTCTACCATAATTTTATAAGCCTCCCCCTCGTATAAGCCCCCCTCGTATAAGCCCCCTCGTATAAGCCCCCTCGAATAAGCCCCCGTCAAAAATATCAAAAATGAATAAGCCACCAAGGGGGCTAATTCGAGGATTTACGGTATAGCATCCTAGGAACGCGTGGCGTTTTCCAATCTTTTTATTACATCCATTGTCTCCTAATGTTACAAAGTCCGCAACAATGAGAGTGATGGGACCAGGTTCACGCCCAACTGAGTTAGTGTTACACCGTTTTCTATATCTCCCTTTTGCGAAACAATATCTATAATCTTTAAGCTGTCAGATTGCCATCTTAGCTCGTATCCATAAGCACAAAGGTCATCTGTCACACACGGCTTTCAAAATACAGCACAGGGTTCCATTTTTTTAAAACGCCTTTTCATTACTTTTGCTACGGGCTGTTGAGGCAGCTTCTTGTTTTTGTGCTCTGAACCCGCCTCGCTGTCATGTTGTATTTGTATCTGTATCAACTTTAATCATTGAAATTCGCATGGAGAGGTCATCCTTTCATACTCCTCATCCCTGTCTATTGATATTATCAAAGTCTTTCAATAGACTCTGATTACTATATCTTACTAAGTCAAAGACCCAAAGTACCGCCTCTTCCACAACCTTATATATTCTAAAATTAGCCTTGATGTTCTTGTTCTTCTGAAAATTTCAATATTCTGAAAACGCAGATGCCCTTTGAGCCAAGTAACCGATCTCTTGAGAGTCAGACAGGCTAATCACAAGTTTAGCCTCTCTCTCCCCGCCTAGAAAGTAAATACTAATTTTTACAACAACGTATTTATCTTGTTAGAGTTATTGCAATCAATTTATCTGGTGTAGGAGTGCTGCAGAGACAAAATACATTGCATTTGCCATCTGACATGCAGAATCTTGACTAAAGCTAACTAGGAAAGTTATCTCGGAGGAGGAGCTTATGTTTTGAAAGCCTCTGCTCCAGACTCCTAACTTGAAAGAAGTTAGAGGTCTGGCGCACAGAATAAAGTGTTGTTAAACCAGTTGTTTACACACCGATATGACGGTCGTTTAGAATCTTATTTGCAAAAAAAGATTGAATGACGATGAAAAGAGATAAGACTTAGCAGTCTCCGTGTTTAATTCACAAAGCCTTCTAGATATACCAAAACGCTCCTATTTTCCTAACACTTTAAGTAATATCTCCAGTTTTGCTTGAAAGTTTTATAAACGCTTCTAGCCTTAGTTACCTTGCATTGCATTATAGTACTATGTGTCTTAGTCTATAATTTCAGTCAAGACCATTGCGGGGTATTGCTGCAGGTCTTGCCTCAGTCAGTTTTATTTCTTCGTTGTTCTATAGTATTTGAGACCCAAAAAACTACTCTAAGCCTCCTTTTTCTAAATATACCAGACTACGACCCCCCCCCCCATTGTTGTAGGGTGCTCTTGCTGCTCTTGGTTTTACTTGCCAGTGTTTCATACTGAGATTCATCTCTTATTGAGCAATATGCGCCACGTTATGCTGGGGCATCCCCTCGAACGAGTCCATAACTAAGGGCAACCTCGTTATAAATTGTTGTTTTATCTATACATAGGAGTTTGCCTTGAGTTTTGAAGGCGATGAAGAGTTGTTATACCTAGATTCAAAGGCAAAGATAGAGATTGAAGGTTTTGGATAATGATTTCAAAGGGCAAAGCTGGATTTTTTGATATTGCAAAGATTTAAAGGATTGCTTGGATTTCGGCATGATTTTATGGTTTCCAGAGTTTTGAATAGATTAATTGATTTACCTCAGAATATCTGAACAGTCTCTGTGAAAGATTTTATGTTAATGATACATTCCTCGCCTATGTTTGCTTATCCATTTATCTATGGTATATGCAACATTACGACCAACATATTGCATAGACGACCACGCCTATCCGTCCACCAATCAACTTTCGCAAGGATAAAAGGCATCTAGCTGTTTTGATATCCGCCCATAATTTATGTATTTACTTTCCAATTTTTTCGCAATTACACGCTTCATTTTGAATCTTAAAAGTCAGATATAATCTCAATAACAGAACATTTACGCCTTGATTTCAAACTAGCGTCGTGCCGTCATGCCCACTAAAGTATCGCAAATTTACGTTATTTTTATCAATTATATTCAGCCATAATTCGTTTGAAGATTGATTTGCACAAGAAGTTTGCAACTACAATACTATTAAAAATGAGAAAAGTACTTTCCTATTATTCTTGAGTCCTTTGTCTTTAAAGGCAATAACTCATGCAGTTCTACCTTCGCAATCTTTGTATTTTTGAATTCGCTTTCAAAACGTTTTTACTGTATTTTCATGCTATTTCAACTTGCTTCACAAAATCGCTACTTTCCCATCCCCTTCTCTTCCTTGTGTACACAGATCATGTCATGTTTGCGATAAGTTGAAACTTTCTTTTCTCACGGCAGGTCGTTTAATTAGCTGTTTTAGGTCATGTTCTGACTCACCTCGTCCCATTCTAGCTCCGTTATGAACCCGCCTTGCTCTCTGCCTAACATTTTCTTGTCTTTCAGACAGTAGCTGTGATTTTTAGCATAAAGACGCACTCAATTTACCTCTATTGCTTATTTGCTGCGGGAACAACGCCATTCAAGTGTTTGCCTTGCCAGAACATTCTGTACAAAGCAAGCGAGCATATGGTGACCAGATAAATGTTGTTTGGGCATTGAATTAGGTATTATAATCGCCCATTCGCTTGATTTCAAAGCCATAGGCTGTACCCTAAGAATTTTTGTTTAATATAACAACCTTTGAGGTCACGAATTTAAAACCACTTTGAATAATAATGCAGTGTAAATTGAATGGCTACCCAAAGACAGGTGCGGGTGCGATCACCTGTTTTTTGATGAGGAACATTTTCGATCAGTTTGTAAACAAATAACCCATCTGAGATTGTGAAGGAAACTCACACTCAAATATAATTAATCTCATTCTTTTTACTGGTAGAAGAATGGAATTTTTATGACCCAAGCGACAAAATTACTTCAGTCAACCAGTGAAAAGCTGTCCTGTATGGCCTAATTAAGCGATTGCAACCCGGGTAACGAAGTGTATAAACAATTGATGTAATATCTATCCTTAATTGAAAAATCATCACAATAAACTTGTCAAAATTTCGCAACAATTTGTCAAAAGCAATTTCATAGAGCCGAGAATTCGAATCACAAAGTACCTGGGTAAAAATGTAACCGAATGTTACTGTGGGAAGTTTATAAAAGAGAAGATTTGAGATAGAATTTAGAAAAAATGTGTTAATGTTCTAGTCTATGAGCAGCTACACTCTTTGTTTTTATAAGAACCAGAGAATTTTTTTGCTGAGCCTCAATGTTCTTAACTTTTTGATAATTTTAGGCTCAGATGTTCTGAAAATTGTTCGTATTCTAAGAGTGATTTTTTCGCAAATATTTGAGAAGTTACATGCCGTATGTAGTTTTTAAGACGTTTTACTGGGTAAAGTTTAAAAATAAAGCAATGACTGCTAGTGTTCATTGACAATCTCATCAAAGTTTTTTTTGTCAAGAGAATGTCGGTACAGTAGTTTAATGCTTGTGAAAATTTCCATTATGGAAATTTTTAAATTTCTCATCTGAAGCTAAGCATGTTCTAGCCTTGTTCTTATTTTTTGGGCAAGTCGAGCCTCGGTGTTCTTATAAAGTGTGTTCTTATAAAAAAGAGTGTATGTTAAGGGTAATGCCAATGAGCCTCTTGCTTTGCTAAGATGTTAACCAAACCCCAAAACATGAAGTTTTGTCTTTAATTGTGGTTGATTGTAACAGAAACCTTCGTTGTCTTAGATTTCTTGATAGATAATGGAAACCTATTGACCTCGGCAGAAAAGTCTTACGGTTGGAATAAAATTCAAGCCATTGGCCCCGAAGTCCTTTCCGTTAGTCATCTGTGTATTATCTGCATTTCGTAAAAAGATTCTTTATTTACATTTCACAGCATGTATTATCTGCATTTCGTAAAAAGATTCTTTATTTGCATTCCACATCTCATATAATTACTTTTTGAATGTGTTTTTTTGATCTTTCAGAAATTTTCTTTTAGAAGGTCCCTCATTCAGGATTTCAGCCGAGTTTCTATAATATAATCTAGTGAAAATTACTGTTTCCTTGTCTGTCATTGAGTGCCGTATAGGCAGAATTTACAATGATTTGGTGTAAAGAAAAAAATGTTTTTAAGTTGTAACTACATGATGCACAACGAGTAAAATGATGAGATTTCCTCTTCAGCTGAACACATACATCTTAGAAACGTTAGTTTAGGAAATTCTTGTATTTCAGCGATGATGAAATAACTTTTAACTTAAAATTCGATTGAATTAATCTGATTTGTCCTGCTTTACCTAAATCCCAACGAAAGTTTGGTACTCATTAACCATTGTAGTTCAAATCGCCTGAAACATTTGTGTACAGAGGGTACCTGGTGCCACAAAAATTGCCAAGAAGATTGTGCATAATTATGTCAATGGGAACTATCATTTTTCAAAAAATATTTTCCGTTGAAGTTTGCACAGACAATCGCATTTTTAAAGCACGATGTTGTTCGTCAATTCTTGACATACTTCAGGCATACGTCAATTCTTGACATACAAAAATATGAAACTTTTCTAGAGGTCTGGGACCTATTGCAAATACGGCCTAAGCGCGACTTTCAAACAATTTTCCAGATTGCCTTGCGAATGAGGAACATCAGTGTATTCAAAGCAAGCGACTTTTATGCAACGAAGGAAGGTTTGGAGTTTGTAGCAGCAATGCATCAAGGTATAACTTCTTCGTAGAAATTGTTCTCTTCTAATCAAAGAAGCCCAAGCAATGCTTAAGCCAAATTATGAAAGCTTCATCCAAGTATGCACAAAACATTGAGCATGTGTGGCCTTTCATGCCTGTTCTTCTAGCAGAAATCATTTCTGAAATGTATAATGTGAGGTGCTTCTTTGTTGATTGGAGGGTAATCCGTGTCTCAGCTCAGACAATTTAATTGCCTGTTTGCATAAAATGTCTTCTTTTTACGTTCATGTTAAATTCTAAGTGCACCAAATATTTTGTTTGTGCACCAACTATGCGTTGACTGCATTAGAGAGGTGTGTGAATTTTTCAAATGCCGCCAATCTGGTTCACATGAATACCACTTCTTATAATCAGTTGTCTTGCTTTGAATATTCTTTTGTCAAATCTTATAAGTTGGTAAGTCAAATTTGTGCTGTGCATATCTTGAGCAACTTTATGTAGAACTTGTTTGCAGAAGTCTCCTAGTTTTGACTGTCCTAATTTTCAATGTTATTTCCAATGATGTTACAACTTGGGGATGTGACAAGTAAAAGGCACATAACATTTACCAAAGAATTTTTGTGTGTTTTGTATTGGTTCTTAAATTTTGAAATCAAGGCCAATTTACAATGAATTGATGGAGCAAGAGGCTGCCTCACTCTCACAAAATACAATTGACAGAAACCAAACCTATGTAGTTTCTTGTGGCTTGCATTTTGCTCAGTGCCTCCAAAATTTTATCCAGCAGTATGTTTTCTTGAAGATTCTCAAGATAATTCTGAAGAGTCTTTGGACATGCAGCTGTCTCAAAATGCCATAACCTGTATTAGTTTTTTAAAGTATGCTTTGATCTTCCTCTAATTATCAAGGATGCTTTTGCTTTCATGGTGCATATAATTCTGAAGCAAATTAAAGATATAAAATTCAGTGTTGCCAGATAAATTCAGATGAATTCTAATATTTATAAACCATGACTCTAATTAATGGCAAAGCTTTTGTGCTTTTATTGACAATGGTAACAAGATTTGTATGCGGCAAAATGTTGTGTATCATTCATTTTAACTGGTTGCTACAAATGAAAGACTTGAACCATCATTTATACACATAAAGAGCAATCACATCTTTTTCATCCCATTAGCTCATAGTCCTCACAATCATCAGAATCTGAATCACTTCCACTTGAGTTTCCTTCTTCGATTCCATAGTTGTCAACACACTTTGGGTTTTGCTCTTTTTTGGAATAATCACATTTCCATTCACAAAATGCAGCCTAATGTTGAAAAAAAAACAGAACCAACACTCAATAAAAATAATGATGCCATATTTGATACACCAAACTTTGTGTTAAGTTACAGCAAAAGTTAGCTGAAATAAATTTATTCATTAGACATTAATTAGGACATTATAGAAGTTATTTTTTGATAAGAAGCTTGATTTGCTAGGTAAATAAATATATATCTCTGAACAATGCAAACTTTCTGACAGATGCCCTGCACTGGTAAAATTGAGTTGAATTGAACATTGAATTGAATACACTGAGTTGAACATTGAATCATTTTGTCATATTTCTTGACCTGCTGTTTACTGGTTCCTATCTTTTTCCAACTTTGAGTGCTGAACTTTGTCTGAAAAGTCATGATGCTAATCTTTGTTTTCTTTTTCTCTGGGTGCAAAGTATTTGACATAAAACCACATTGAGTACTAATTTCATGTGTGAACCAGTTTGTTTCAGAAACATTAAATAGCTAACCTTAGGGCAAATTTGGAAAATTGTCCAAAAACATATTATGCTAATGCTCTTTGGAATATGTGTTTTCATCTTTATTAATTCTGCTTGTGCAACTCACCGTACGATACGGATCCAGCACTAGCGATCTATTGACAACCTGACAGTCACAGTCTCAAAAAACGTATGGCAAAAATAAATTTCCGCTGAAGAAAAAGGCGAGAAATAAGATCATGCAAAATATAGTCTGATATAATATTTGCATCACAGTGTTGCCAAAACAAAATCTGATGCATGTACAGTTGCGCATTGGCGCAGAAGCACTTTGTTACTTGCACTCAAATGTTCTATGATTGTAAATTCAATGCAACAAAAATAAGCTTTTGTTTACTTCAAAGGTACAATGAAGCAAGAATTGACAGCAAACAACTTGCTAGATAACTTACTTCAATCCTTCCTTTCTTTTTCCCCTTCTTGATGTATCTGGAAAATGGTCCGGTCATTGTCCACATGCAAAGGCACCTTCCCTTCTTACATTGACCACTGTCTGGAGTACGTCCACAATAAGGATGGCACTCTGAAATTCATGAATACTTGAATTGTTGTAGACAATATGAATTGCATTCGCAATCAAAGTTACATAAGATGAAAATTCGAGGCTACGTAATCGTCTCTTAAGCCGTCTTGTTTGTTCGGTACTTTTCTAGTGTCTCCTTGTGTATAGGAACGATGTTATTTGGAAAGAACTGCCGTGGCTCCTATCTTTACCCTTTGACTTCAGGCACCGCGGAGCAGGGGGCTGGGGTGCTTTAGTCAAATATTAAGTACTAAACTACCAGTAAAGCCTCTTTTTATACGTGTTTAGCCCCCCTCCCCCCACATTTATAGACACCCTTTTCTTAACGCTCCGCGGTGCCTGGACTTTCCATCGTTGATGTTTGTTCCAGTCTTATTTAACGTTCAGAAAACACGGAGCCAGTGAAAGAGACAGCGTGTTGCTGTATAACTCTGATCTGAACTGAACTTACATACAAATTAACATAAACTTATACAGAAATCAAATTGCTGACTAAGGATGAGTTAGGATGATGTAATGATGATGTAAAGGAGAAGGAAAGATCTAGACTTGAGAAGAAGTCAGCATGACCTAGATGTGTGAACGTGTAAAGAATCGTGAAGGGAATGCCCTGTGGTAGGTGAGGCCGTGAATGACGTAAGTGGATGTCATGATAGATGAAGGAGTAGGAATATGGCCTACTTTTCTTCAATATTGAAATCACTACATGTGTTCATTAAGCTACCTCACAGACCAAGTCAGTGTACCCTTATGAAAGGTAGATTATTCATATGTCCTCTTTTCATTTTGCAGTAATTTTGCAAAATACATTTTCCCGCATTTCCTGTCTAAACTAGCAGAAAAACGGAAGAGCACTAATTCAGAGTTTTCTATTAATCAGCAACACTTGTTAGGGGCGTAAATTCGACGTTTATTTTATAAATTAAGAATTTTTTTCTGCTTTGCATGCCATCAATGCGCTGAAAAATCACTTGGTATGAATCATATACATTCGGCTCAATGTTCGATAACTCTCTAAATTCCATTTCAGAAGCATCTTCTGTTGAAAAAGCAACAAGTACTACAGAAGGTTTCGAAGTAATAGAAATATTAGAAATCGTTGTTGCATTTGATATTATGAAAAAATGTTTGATACCAGCTCCTGATGCTGCGCTTACACAATGCCAGACTCACTACCTATCGGATTCGCTGCACCGTACCGGGTTGATTTCATAAAGGCCTATCTGGCTTGTAACGAATCCGATATGAAGTAAATCCGGTACCGGGTAAACAAGGCCTGGATGTACAAATAGAAACCCCAAGTCGAATTTCTCATAGTTCAGCACATGCTTTGAGCCTCTTTTCGTACAATCTAATTTGTTGTTTAACCAATTTTCACGAAAGTATTAAACTTTAGCTGAAGGCTAAGGGGAAAGAAATAACAATTCTTCATCAGAAGAACCCAATCAAATTTGGGACCCTTTGGGACTTTTTGCAATTCGTCTTAAATTTTCCAAGGGCCTCAATCGCCTTCACTAACTGGGGGTACTGGGATAAATCTTAAAAGATTGTATTTATTGTCCTGTGCAAGTATGAAATTTTCATTCAAACAACCTCGATGCTTTTTTATTTTAGCGTGTAATCGTGTAATTTTCCAAAGCTTTCGTGATAAATGGCGTCTCAGTGACAGTATTTTCAGTTCGTTTCTCCATCTTTTCACGGCTCAGCTAGCAAAGACCTTTCCTCTTTATTGTAACCTTCCTCTTTGCGGTAATTTGTACCGCGGGGCAATATCAGTCACATTTCTACTTTTTTTGCCTTAGAGTGCTTTAGTGTAGTCCAGGCCTAAGTCAATGGAAAAATACCCTTTTTCACTATATAAGCAACCATGAACATTAATGCTTCATAATCCTCAATATCTTCTCATATTGCTTGGTAATGTTACTTAGAGCTAAGCAATAACAGCTCCTATTGCTTTAAACTGCTAAACATTCATAATTTTTTTTATATTATTATGTTTTGTCAGATTTTAAGCAAATATTCTTTATTTCTGAGCAACTGCTTCAGACGGTGAAAAAGGCAACTCTGCTAGCTTTACGAATTGAAATTTATTCAAGTGAACCACTAAAACAACGTAAGAGATATCTACTGTAGGTAATTACATTAGTCTAAAGAAGGATAGAAGTCCAAGAGACATGGCTTGAAATGTGCTTGAAATGCTAAAGGTTGACGCCCAACAGTTGTTTTTCGATTTGAGTGAAAAGACGTTAATAAGTATGACTCTGAACATTTGTTTGTGGTTAAAAAAATATAGTTCCTTTAAAGAAGGACGCCGAGGCCAAAATTTGATTGCTCGTTATATATTGATTAATCTTTACATGTCGTTAACTTTAGCAAGAGAAAATTGAAACATTACCTTTGTATTTTTTGTGGGATATTGCCATTCGTATGTAAGCGAAAAGAATAATCGCTAAAACGATCTGATGCTGCACTTTCATGTTATATTTTCCTTAGACCAGGTCTAAAGTTGGCAGTTGTATTAAGCACTCGGCAGTAGTCGTCTTATTCTGCAAGATCTCGTGTGTGTGCAGAGAGGCACCAGGGGTAGATACGGCAGTGCATCAAGAGAGTTTGTTAGTGTAACGTAAATTGCAAGTGTGCATCTTCATCTATGTTTGAGGACCATTAAATCGAAAACCTATTCTGGTTAGTGTAAGCAAACACGTGTGTGAATGTTTTGCTGTATGTGGCTGTTTAGCCCGTATTTTGTTTGAAAAGGGATATTCAATTCAAAAGTGCGCGTATTGTGAAATCAGCTGTTAGAAACATGTTGCATATTATGGTTTTAGAGTGGCGGAGTGACGTCACCAAACAATTTATGCTAAGAACTGTTGAACTTTGTTCCGATAACCTGAAAGGACACCATGAAATACCTCTAAATATGCAAAATCAGTTTAATGCGTTGTAAATCGACTGGTTGCTCAAGTTTTGTACTTGAAGACATGAAATCAACTCTAACTGTAAATGACTTTATTTTCATGGACACAGCAATTCATGGACTAAAAGCAAGTAAACTTTATCATTTTTTCTCAAAAGTGTCTTGGCTAGGCTAACAGGCAGCCGCTGTTGCTCTGATTCGTGGCTTGAGAACAATTTGTCACAATCTTTCTAGAAACCAACTGCCACAACGCCCGTGCCCCATAATCCGCTGCAGCTACCAACCTGTGTATTTCAATGCCTTAAATGGTTTATAGACCCTCCCGACAAAGTCTATGCACCAAAGCTATATGCACGAAAGGATTTCTCAACACTTAAAGTAGACTTCGACGACAGGATATATAAGAAGGGAAACTTGCCACATCTACAAAAGAACCCAACTCTGATAAAGTCAAAGAAACATTTCGAAATTAATTTCAGCATATAAAAACATTTGATAATGAGGCTGTTTATTCTGCTAATCAATTCCATGACAACACTGCATACATCACAACCCAGTAAATTTTTGCAAAGTTTCTTGATTGCATTTTTCATCACTGGCTTTCGTCATTGACTGCGCATCCTGGGTTTTTGACATCGTGTGTGTAGTGACAAGCAATTTGACAGTGTTCGGCCTAAAGTTTTAAAAGCGTAATGTAGGATACTCGATGCTTAAGACATAATTCGAAAAGTGACACTAACGAGTTGGGACGCTTATTCGAGAGGGAGGCCTATTCGAGAGGGAGGCCTATTCGACAGGGAAGCTTATTCGAAATAGGGGCTTGTTAGAAATGGGTGGGGATGTGGGGCGTATTCAGAAATTGATTGATTTTGGAGGAGCAGTATTTTTATGCAGAATAGATTAAAAATAAAAAGCTAGATTAAAGTGCTTCTAAATTAAGTCATTTGAAATTATGTATAGGAACTGATATTTTATCATGTGGCTTCCTTTTTGAAAGTTGACTATGAACCGGGCTTAAGCCCTAAACAAGTATATACATACCACAATCTTGCCAGATGGCAGGTAAGATGCTCCGGGCCCAGTCCAGCCCCACTGGCAAAGGCATTTTCCGTAGGATTGACAGGTTCCTGTTCCATCTGGGATACCGCATTTGGGATGGCATTCTGCAATATAACATTTTAGGTATATTTAAGCCGGGTAGGGCCACTGCAGGGATGTCTGCATGGTTGCGAGTCCCAGTTTTATAGTGTGAAACTGTCTTATTTTTTACCCTTGGTTGGAAAATGTTCAAAAAAGCTGTTTGGCTCCGATCAAGTGATTTCATCAAGATTAGAAATATGGCAAGCTAATATTTCTTTATAATTACGATTCTTGTATGACTGACAATCATAAAAATGTTCTGGAAGCTGCTCTAGAATTCCCTTTATTCTGAATTAAAATCGAATGCTACATCAAACATCATTCATAAGATTCTCAAGTTTTGTAATTTTTCATAAACTTTGTAAATGGGAGGGGGGCTTTCAAAATAAAATTGAAATTAAAAGAAAAACACAATAGAAAAGATCTGACATCATGTTCACAATCAAGGTAATCTATTGGAATTGGATAGGAGAATATGGGAATGGCAGCCCAAGAGCGCTCATTTGCTTTTTTATAGTTGATATTAATGTTACTGTGTTTTTCAGCTTACCATCGTTGCATTTTGTTCCTGGTTGATTGCTTTTTTTTAAGTTCGAGTCACTTATTTGGGAGGGTTATTATAAAATGGGGGGGAGGTCTTTTTCATAATTTTCTTAATCTGGGGGAGTCATCATAAAATGTGGATGAAAAATTTCAAAATATGACATTTGACCCCATCCTGCAACTAAGCACGGAAGAGTACTATTTTAAAAGTCATATAAATTTTCATGTTCTTCAAAGATTCGCATCACTTCTGAGCCTTCAAGCTTACTTTTAGGCCGAAAATCTTGGTTTTGAAATTTCCAACAACTACCGTGCAGTGGCGTCTTAATGAGTATTAATATTCAACTTTTATTCTTCATACAGCACAATTATAAATATAACTCTTAAAATGATGTTCAGCAGTATCACATTTTGTCAAGCCAATTCCAAAAAATCCTGTAAATTGGTCAAAGGTGTGCTACAAAGCATTATAGGGTTGATAGCTCATCATATTCATTTTTTTTTAAATTTTCTTTGAATGATGTTCAGAAAAACTGTAATTTCGGCAAGCCTATAGGCTAACTTTCAGGCCGAGTATCTCGGCTTCAAAGTAGTTCTAAAAAATTTTGTAAAAGGGTCAAAGATTTCTTACTACAGGGCAATCTACGGTTGATAGTGCGCCATATCCAATTCCAGCAAATATCAAAAATTTTGATGTTCATTTTTATTCTAATGTCGTCTTGTAGAATTTAGGATTTGGTTTCGTGAAAAGAAAATTAATATATTTCCCTTTCAAGATATTTTTAACAAAGAATAGTACTTTAATATTTATTCGGACCGAGGTCCTTTACGTACCATTCGCAGCGGCATTCAGGGTGAAGATAAGGACAGCGGCAAGCAATGATATGTAAATCGAGGATTTCATTTTGTGATTGAACATATCCAGAATAACTTGGGTTTATTCTTATCACGTTGCCGTGTATCTTGCGTTTTAGATACTCACTTCGTTTTGTAACGTGCCAGTATTGACGTCCTGCTAGAGTCACTTACGTGTCAATGACACGTTAAGAAGCTGTGGACTATCAAAAGGCTGTCATTACCGTTGTTTCATAACAAATTATTCTTTCCTGTTGACTGTTTAGCCTGATCACTCTCAAGCAGGGCTGATTTCTAGGGGGGGCTCAGGTTGTTAAAGTTGTTCTTGAATTTGGGCGCAGCCCCCCGCCAAACAAATTTGCATTAGTTCTGCTTTTAAAAATCTCTCCGTTAGCCTTAAAAATCTAAATATGCCTTACTTGAAAACATCTTAACGCAGAGTGCGCATCATTTGTTAATTCTGTTATCTGTAGCATTTTTTTCGAGTCTCCCCAATGCTGAATCGCATCCGAGGCCGTCTTATAAAGAACCATTTATAACTCTCACAAACTATATATAAAAGTTCTGTTCTAGTTTTATTATGATGTTATCTTGCAATTTTAATGGTTATTCAGACATTTGTCATTGTTTTCTACACGGTTTGGTTATCATATTTGAATCGATGAAAATATGGGCGTGGTCAGAAAAAACCCTACCCCTTGCATGACGTTGCCCCTAGATCGTTGTTACCTTTTTTAGAAATCACCACTGCTCTCGAGAATTCCATTTCAATTTATGGCGAAAAATATTTGCATAATTGCAGGCGCCATGGAGTTGTTCGGAATCGTATCTGCCGGCTGTGATTTGCCTGAACGGTTATGAGGCTATCTTGAAAACATGGAATGTTGGAATGTTGAAATGTTGGAATTATGGAATGTGTTTTCTAAAATTTTCAAGATCACAAAATAACGAGAGAAAGAGAAGAGTTGTCAGCGCAATAGAAGACCTAATTTCTTCAGCTCATATTCACATGACCCTCACAAGACAGTTTGGCTTGCTTTAGCATATGTTTTTATTTATATTTGAATTTGGAAATATGGGCGTGTCGATAAGAAAGCACATATTCTCTTAATTTTTAAAAATCACCCCTGATTGCTTTTTGTATGGTCTTGAATTTGCTGTGTTTTCTTACCTGGTTTAGCTTTTTGGGCCTGGCCTAGCCTAGTCTTTCTCCACTCACCATAAAAAGAACTCTAAAGACAGACCTTCATAATTTGTTTTTTCGAATCTTCACCCGCCAGAGGTCAACTGGTTTCCAGTCAATCATTGCAATTTTTTAAACAAAATTTGAAAACTACAGGTTGACAGCAACAAAGTTTGAATGACGATGCCATCTTGAGCAAGAATGGCATGGCTACCAATTAACATTACTTATTAATGATACAGAAGCAAGTTGCCGTTTAAGCGGCTCGTTTAAAAGTTTTTCTCTTTTTAAATTCTTTTAACTTTACTTTTGGGAACTAAACATTTGCAGCTGCATATAGGCAACGTAAACCTCGCGAAAATGTTTCGTTTATTTTAGCTTTTATTTCCATTAAATATGTGATTTAACATTGTCTAAAACATGTTATAATGATACTTGGCAATTCTGAGTGGGCGCTTATTCACGTGTGGGGGATTATTTGTAATTTTTACCTCCAGGATTTTTGGTGATTTTTTGGGGCTTATAGTAGGGAAGGGCATTCCGAGAATTCACTTGGGATTTACGGTATTCTTTTCGGTTTCTTGTTTCACTAAGCTACAACGTTTCAAAGAATCTGGATGGAGCAATGTGATAATTTTCGGTCGCCTTGACCTGCTTGATTTTTCTTACGAGCCCCGTCGAGTTTCAAACAAAGCCCAAATCATAATTTTTTTTCAGCTCATTAATAGACAGTCAATGCATAAAAATTCTGAAGTCATGTTTGAAATGGTTTCAGAACTGCAGCCTTAGCAGACTTTTTTTAGTTGCTTTTTTAAAACAAAAATGGAAAGATACATTTTTTGATGCTAAGAGTTTTACGCGATTCATTATGATGATACAGCAAGTGACATCATCGTCAGATTGCATCCTTGAGGAACAACCTGCTTAATGATTAAGCTTTTAAATTTGTCATGTCTCGATCTGAAAAACGAATTTACCGCTACTTAAAACAGAAATGTGATAACCAATAATACACTCCGTTTTTAAATTTGGTGTTAGCATTATAGAGTGACCATTATAGAGTAATGTACTCGAGAACTCTATTGAACATTGTCCGTTTGATAGGCTTCCAGGAGTTTCGACCTTGACCAATACCTTTTGTTAATTTGTTCTGTTTAAATTTTCAGGTGTATACCAACGTACGTTGCCAAGGTTCTTTGTCAAGTACTGACAGTTGTGTAGAATGCAAATGGAGAAGAAACTGCAGGGCAGTGAAGAGGACATCGCAGTAAGAGAAAGTCCTTACCCAATGATGTAAGTTGTTTACATATTTTATGAATTTACAGTATCTGGTAATATTCATGAAGAAAATGTATTCAATAGCCCCTGAAATTCATCGACAATCAATATGCTGCCGCCTAGATCAGTTTGGTTAAACTCAAAATAGACTGGCGAGAAAAAATAACAAAGAAATATATCATGGTAAAAAGAAACGAGCTCGCAACACAACGAAGATTTTCTACTTTGACTCAGCAATAAATAACAGACTCCCTCACATAAAGATGATATAATCCACCATCAACATTCACATCAACAGAAAATGCTCTCCGAAGTAGAAATTTTAGCTAGAGTATGGAGTTTGTCTTTATACACATAGCTTGCATGTTAAATCTTTCTACACAAGTGAGTTCTTACTCTCCCTTTGACTCTATTGGCTATATTTTGCAATCGGCACTGATTGGAAAACCTCACAGTCACAACTGGGTTCAAATCTTTCCTAGCTTAGAATTTTCTATCATTATTCTAACGTTTTTTTCTGAAAAGTTTCAAACGAAAAGCTTAAGTATGTTTCAAAATATTTGCTTTTTCAAAGCCTTTTTAAGTTTTTTACCATTCCAAAAGTATCTGTTGATCATGCAATTGAAAAAAACTTAATAGGCAGCATTTTATACTTAGCTTAGGCAAGGCCTTTTTATAATGCCTGCAACACTAGTCTTCGAATTCTGCAAGGTCTCGTGCAAGGTCAGAAGGCATCTGGGTTATACACGGTATTGCATTTATTGTAAAGATTCTTGTTTTGCCTTTCAACAAATATGGCAGAATAGTTGATGTTTGGCTCCAAATGCAATTAGGCATTTTTAGCTCTGTTTGAGAATGAACAACATTTTTGAATCAAAAAGTAAATGCTTGTGCGAACGTCTTGCTGTATTTGGCAATCTAACCCATGCTTTGTTTGGAGAGAGATATTTGATTTTGCGTATTGTGGAATCAGCTGTTGCAAATATGATTTGCATTATCGTTATAACATGCATAGAAAAGAATAATTTGACACACTGAGGAGCGAAAGATTTAGTGAAACGAAAGTATTCTAACTAAGGAATAAACTGAAAAATATATCTATTTCATATGATATATCCAACAGACATAACCTCCAAAAAAGATTCTTGACTATTTTCATTTTAATGAACAACCTCTACCAAAAAGCAAAACATTCAGAATGACAAGCGAATAGTTACAGATTGCAACTTCAGAATATATATTCATGATATTGATAATAAAGTTATTAAATGTACTGAACAAACTTTGGAAATCACTGCTTACGTCATAACCCAGTCCCTTTTTGCAAAGTTCTTAAATATCTTCTTCGTCACTGGCATCTGAATCATTCCCAGAACAATTTCCATCATCATCGTCTGTGCAGTTAGGGTTTTTGTAGACATGAGTGTAGTGACAAGCCCATTGACAGTGTTCGGCCTAAAGTTGAAAAGCATGTACCATTAATGCTCCTCTTCTTTTTAAGGGTTATGACTCCTATCGACCTCTGAATTTTCTAAGCTTCATCAGATGAATTTTCTATTTTATATGATGAAGCTTTGTTGTGTATAAGTATATGCACCTATTATAATAGATGTACACCAAACTGACACCAAGGCATCGACAGCGCTATCTATACGGCATTAACCATTTTCTGGAACACCGGTAAAACAAAAATTTTCATTTATATATATGTATGTATGTATTCAAAGCTCTAGACTGTAATGTTTTTTAAAAATTTAAATAGATGATCAGTAAAAAAAACTTGATTAACGTTTCGCAATATGCTTCTTCATTCTGAAGAAGCATATTGCGAAACGTTATTGAAGTTGTTTTTTAATATAGCGACGTAAAACATACCTTGGTATGAACCGGTTTCATGCATTCATTTATTTGTTTTTTTAATCGTTCATTTATTGATTCATTCATTCATTCATTTATTCGTTTATTTATTGCTTCATTCATTATTTCTTCACTGTAATTTTTGTCAGTACAGTTTACAAACAAGCTAAGTTTCTGTAAAGAGGCTGTTTGTGGTACTGTGTGCTATATGGTGGTTAACGCGGAGGCTTTTGAATTGTTTTTCAAGAGTTTGGTGCCAATGTTCTGTTCTCTCGTTCGGTCTCTTAAGTTGGATCTTTCTTTATATAAGTATGTTTCACTTATTTTTATGTTAACATTGAACATGTGATAATTTACTATGTATACATCTGATACAAAATCGATAGGAGCTTTTTAGAAGCGGGTTTTGAGGCTTCCAGTGTAACTTTTAAATTACTGTTTTGTCAGATAGTGACAGTATATAAACGAACAAGCATGGTGTTTCGTACAACCTTCCATCTTTGTCCCGAACCTGAACTTTCATGAACTGATGAGAAAGAAAGTGTTAAGTAGATGTATAAGATATTCCATGTTCTATTTATCACCATCATAAGAATGTACCTTTTGATAAACTTAATAAATCAGCGAGAGAAGCCTTTGAAACTTGCATGCTAGAGAAGCCTCAAAATAATTTTTTTGATAGAAAATAACTTTGTTCCTTTTTTTTACAGTTGCAGAAATATCTATGTGTAATTTATTCATTAGAGCTTTATTAGGTTTCATAGAATCCCTTATCTATTTATCAGGCAATTGATCTCTAGCATGAATAAGGCAAGACTCTTTTCAATGCATTCTTAAGAGAGTCACATCAATTCTATTCTATAATTTCATTTGCAGAAAACATTTTAACTTATTATGTGCAAATGTAACTTATTAAAGTTTCGGTGGCTTGCTCCACGTTGGTTCTTCTGTCATTTTTGGTTGATTGCAATATCTACACTGCCGTATCCCTAACATTATCTCGTAACCATTACAGTGGAAAAAATAATTTGTGTTACCTCTTACCTCTATTTGTTACTACACATTCAAAAACTGTATTCTCTAACAAGGAACAATTTTTTCTAACAAATTTGAGCACATTCTTTCATGCTCTAGCACAAATTCCAGAAAATTTCAATTTTCTCTGTAAGTTCAAAGATCTATCTGAATATGCTGTTTATTCTTCAATGTTTTAAATAGTCTACACCTCTTAGAGAAGAGAAACATACCTCAATCTGACCAGACGACAAGTAAGAAGACCTGGGACCAGTCCAGCCCCAATGGCAAAGGCATTTTCCATCTGATTGACAGGTTCCTGTTCCATAGGGGGTGCCGCATTTGTCGCTGCATGCTGAAAAACAGAATTTATAGAATCGGAGATTGTTTCGTGTTTTGGGGTTGGGTTTATGGATTGCAGTTTTGAGATCCTAAGACTTCCAGTCGATTCTTTGATGGATTTGGCTTGAAAATTGTCAACAGAGCTGTTTGTACCCTGCCTAAAGTTTGACTAGATTTCTTATTGAAATAGTCTTGAATTAACGGCTTTCAATTTTACTAGAATTGAGCCAATCTTTGATTCTTATGATAAAAAAATGCTGATTGATTAAGGATTTTAGGAATCTTTTCTATGTTTGCATCATTATCAGGAGAATATCATGATTTGCATCACTCTAAATAAATCAAATTCTATAACGAGAGTTATTCTTAATGCCCTTGAACTTTTTTGGGTCTCTTCTGTCTGTTAAATCTCTTCTTTATCTGTCAATCTCTGATGATGTGCAGGCTCATTTTGTCATTCAGTTTTGCTTCAATATAATAGGAGGTCCGTCTTAGTTCATACAATCAAATTCTGCGATCCTTCCCAACCAATGTACCTGAAATTACGTTCCTTTTTGTAATTGATTTTTGCAATAAAGTGCACTGGTATTTGTATGATAAGAATTTCCATGTCATCGATAAAACATCGCACTTCGTTGGACCTGAATGTCACCGGTCTTTCAATACCTTTTGTCTCATGTCTCACATGTTCAAGTATTGTTACTTGTTTTTCATCAAGAAGTATGTTGGCATCATTTTGCATAATATTGCCTTGCTTCTTGAAGGTGAATGAAGCCCTCTTCATTTGTGGCCGTATTGATGATGGTATTACTTACCATTAAATTTGCAAACTCAGTGTAATTTAAACAACAAAATATTTTTCTCTTACCTTTCGAAGCAACATCTCGCGTCAAGAGAAGGACGGTGACTATATACAATACGTAGACTGGGATTTTCATCTTGTGGCTGTCCAAGGTCCAAACTTTGATATCTTCTTCACGTTGTGTCTGGCTCTTGTTCGCAGGTATTTTAAGTACTCGGCTCGTTTGGTTTTTGCATTGCTGCACACCGGGGGGTTCAGCTGGCTCCCAACTCGTACCGACCGTTCTCAAGCATGCGCATTATATACTTGTCTGTCTTGGTACGTTCCAGAGGGTCAGAGAAAGTCAGGAACCTTTTTTCAGTCATTGGCAATAATGTAATTTTGAATTTGATTACTTTTACCACCAGCTCTAATTCAAACCAATCTCCATACCATTGGTTTCTGGCATTTCACACGAAAAAGCTGCATACGTGCGAAATCAAGAAATCATGAATTCTCTTGAAATCATGTTTGAAATTTTTTGTATATTTTACTTTTCTTCATACTTTTCCTATTGTACTGACGCTAAATGTCGCTTCCAAAACTTAAAATGTAAACAAAGTATAACTTTTAGTGTGGTTAAAATTTTTTTCTCGGTTTTATGAACCTGTTATAATAACTGACAAGTTAGTCTAAACGCTTGAAAATACCCTGGCAAACTTTCGCAAAATAATCAAATATATTTGGTTCACATATATTCTAAAGTACTGGAGGAGCGGCTACCCGTCGTAGTAGCTGGTTTACTCTGGCTTTTTCTTCAGCAAATATTTGTAGAGAGAAGGAAAGCCTTTTCTAATTGCATGCTTTTGTTAATACAGCTGATGGTTATATCAATAGAACTTTCCTAATTTACCAAGAATATGCAATGTGCATCTGCTAGTTTCGTAAGTTATTTACTAACGAATTCTATTGTATACCATTAATTTGCATTCTTTGTAATTTTCTGATTTGATGTGCTACCAACTCGCTTCAATAGTTGACCTTATTGGTATTCTGTCGGGAGAATATTTAAACTCATGTTTAGAAGGAGTAAATGTTTAATAACTCTACAAACTTTTTCCATGTAAAGTGTATGAAGTAGAAATTTGATTTTTGAAGCATTTGTTGGGAAATGTATAGCAACTTCAGTAAAAACGCCACAACGACTTTATCCCAAAAAGAAAAATCCGGGGTCGTAAAGATCGACATTTAAAATGGCTTTGAAAAAAGCAAACATTTAGTAAACTAAAACTTTTCGTCTGACACTCTTCAGAGTTTGAAACTCTGTAGAGTGTCAGTTTGAAACTCTGAAGAGTGTCAGACGAAAAGCTTTAGTTTACTAAATGTTTGCTTTTTTCAAAGCCATTTTCAAGTTTTGTACCACCAAAAGATTATCAACATTTAAGTGGAAAACATACAGCATACGAGTAAGTCAGGTTTTAACGGGACGGAAATAAATGAATTTGACTATGCCATGTTGGCTAGATACAGGAACTCATCTAGAATTAAATGACAAATATAGAAAAGGCTTTATCGAGTGCTGATATTCATTATTCGGGAGTGCTGCCTAGAAAATGAGAAAATAAGAAAATGAGAAAAAGGAATTTGAAGTACGCGTATATTTCATGAAATGCGATTTCTAACACATTGCGTGTCGCAGTTTTCCGGCTGAAATTTGATTTTCTTTTTGCCATTTAACCTTAGTTAGTATGAACACATTGTATTGGAATATACTGTATTCCTACTAGCCAAGGTTGCATTCAGGATTGCCAGATAAGATTTACAAAAGAAGGCCCGACGGATAGGCAACTCAGAACAAAATCCTCTTAAAAAGGCCAAATTGGAAAAAAATCTCAAAAATGCATTGCGCAGTCGCTGTTTATATTTCTCCGCATGCGTCTTTTATATAACCTCTTAATTCAAAGAAGAAATTTCTAATTTAAAAACCCTTTTTCCTGATAGTTAGAATCTATTTTGTGTGTCCTATAGGTGATTATATTTGACATTTGGGTAACACTTTGTAGCACATAAATGTTGCTATTACTCTCTGAATTTAGAATTTCTGCTAAAAAGGCCAAAAAAGCCAGATTTAAGTAGTAGGTCAAAAATAAATTTTCCAGGCAATTTAATTATGAGAAAGGCCAAAATTGGAAAAATTTGGCGTGAAAAGGGCCAATCTGGCCACCCTAGTTGCATTTATACTGTAATATATATCACGTGCTTCTTTCATTGTTTTATTAAATTACCTATAATCAAGAACATAACACATACTAGGCTCTGGGCTAAACTGGCTCTGGTTCCCAGGGAAGGAGGTTGCCCGACTCATTAAAAACATTATCTTGTTCTTCTTCCCAGCAAGTTAGAAATAAAACTGCACTAGAATGGTATAATCGATACGTAGCCTCAAAGAAAGAAATACTGTAGAGCGAGAACGAGGCACTTTTTGAACCAGTATGCAGGATAATGCAAGTCCCCGGTGGCGCTAGTCCTGATTGCATTTAGTGTCTGGAAGTCTTTTTTGAATTTGTAGCAGCATCTAAATTGTCTAGAATTATTGACGATATGATATTATTTTATGCGATATGATAGTATATGTTGGGTCAGGAGTGCCACCTGCGAACGATGTCGCTTGTCGCTAAAACGATTTAATTTCCTGCACACAAACATAACAGGTTACGTCAAAAACAAACGTGGAGTTTAGGTTTCTGCGAATGTTGCTAATTTCCTAATTTCAATGTCATTTATGTGCAGTTTTCCCTCGTCTGAAAAAGTTACTACAGGAGATAAGATACTTTCAAGACAATTGTGAAAAATTTGAGAACCCTGAAGACAATTTTTATGTACGAAAAATGAGTACATGAAGTGGGGGTGCTCGTTTGTTGGGATGAAAATTATGGAGTAGAGAACTCATGTGAATCACACAAAGGGCCTGCTAATGTAAAGTGAAATATCCTACTCAAGCACAGTGTAACGATTCTGTGACTCAGGTGGGTTGATTCAAGGCTTCATTTGTGTGTTGAGACTTCATCCCACTTTTTTGGGCTAGCCTTGAATTCCAAACCGTTTTGTTTTACTTATCTAAGCAAGGAATTTTTATTCCTTATCATTCCATATTGCCAAGCGGATCAGCGAATCGTTTTGATCCCAGAATATCTTATCCCATCGGCTCAGCAGTGGGACTCTACCTAGGTGACAGTGTCCCATGCACACCACTTTATGGGCCGAATCTCATCTGAGTGTGCTATCCTATTGAGTGGGATATCTCAGGCTCATATAAACCTTCCATAAAAAATCATTTCTTGACTAAATTTTATTCAATCGTCATTTTGAGTGATTGATTCAACTTCTCACAATCAGCATCGAGGCAGTTTTATTCCAGATTATAGCCCGTATACCACATGGCAATCTTTACATTACATGCAGTGAGTATTCAAAGACAAATTTATGTACATAAAATCAACTTGCGTTAAAATATCTTTGCGTTATTTCATCTACACTCAAATACGATACATAACGTTTTCTCCCAAAGCAGTAATCTGGTTTGGTCTTCTGCATTACCATTTGGTATGTTGATGTTTAATATGGGCAAGAGACTCTCAGAAGGAAGCTACTGAACACAATGACAAAATAATTTTTGTGCAGATTGCGCTTGCTTATATGGTAGATTTTCTTTAGACAGTTTGTTGAGTCATCCGTAAGATTTCAGCTTAGTTTCGTACACTTGGTAGAGAAAACTCCCTTTCTTTGAACTTCAAACAAATTAAATAGCTGTCTATATTTATAGAGTGACATTACAAGTGCTGTTAAACTGCCTTTGGTATATAGAAATGCTTTTTATAAAGAACATAGTTGAAGGCCTATTTTTTTCAATTACATTGTAGTATCAGAAGTTCCTCAATAGCTTCTTACTTTAAACTGTCCCTTTAGTGCCCTGAAAATAGCAAAGAGGCGAGATAACATCTAAATTTGAAATTTTGCTGTAAGTTGTGGCAAGAAAACACGAGGAAGGCAAAAAGATCCTGAAGGATTTTGTCTTTAGTGGTATCCTTTTGTCTCTTTTGGGTTTCTTAGTGGTATTTGGCCTTTTTTACGTTGGTCCCTGAAAAACTTGTTCCTCATAAAAAGCATGTAAACAGTTTTTTATGACAATTTGTATATTATAATTTAGAATATCAATGATTGAATAGTTCCTTGTATGTATAGTAGATTCTATAGCTGTCTCATAAAGAGATTAATTATAGTTTAGAAGATATATCCTATTTCTTAAGTTTGGTTCACAGAGTAACACTACAAATAATTCTAAATGGAAGAAAGTTTTTGCATAATCAACCGAAATCAACCGAAGGTTTTCTCAATACCTTTTCCCTTCCAATTGCAGATAAATTTAGTCTTCTCTTTGCGAGTCGTTTCCTTAGAATTCCTTTCTTGAATCCCCTATTCAATATCAGAGATACAAATTTTATTGAGAAAAGTTTGGGCGTTTCCAACACAAAAGGGTGTGGCTTCTCTTTCTGACAACCTTTGCATTGCATAGGTTAAAATTTAGGCTGGATCCGCGCCTGATAACGACAGTAAGGCTTTAAAGTATCTATTATGTCATCCGCTTGATTAAATAATGTTATCCGGTTGATTAAATAGTGTTATCCGGTCGATACAAATGTGCAATTTATACTGAGAGAAAATGTGAGCGAGATCACGGGTTCGAGTTCTAATATAGGGGTTCCAAAAGCCGATAACCGCGCGACAATCAACCAAAAGCTGCAATCTGCAAAAAAGGCCTAAAAACCAATGATTCGCTTCTAAGATAAGGGAAACATTGCTAGAAGTAACTGTATGGCTAGTTAGAATGGTTCTCACTCTGTTTCACAGAACAACTTTGGTCCAAACCACAGCTGCGTTGGTCCAAACCACAGAAACCTTAGCCAATATCTATTGATTTCATATGTTCTTGGAAACACAACAACATCCTAAAAGCCGTAACCCGTTACCTATTTACACCAAAAGACGCAAGACGCAAATTGTGCTGAATCTGCAATCCACAGAAAACCCATTGCAAAATCCGCAGGCCGTACGTAAAAATTGATTCAAGTCGTGAAACCACAAACCTAACCTATAATCGGTCCGGGCCCGATAGGCCCAGTGAGAAGTGCGGACGTAAGCAAATTAAGTCTCTTGCTTCAAAACAACATGCTTCAAAAATTACAGAATAAAAAGCCGCTAGAAAAGTAACAAATAGTTTTTTTGATGCATCTGCAGCTCCTTTGCTCCAGAGACTTGGTTGGCCGGCCATCTGTACAGAAGCTGATAAATAAAGAAACAGGTTCTATGGTTTACAAATCTCTTAACTCTCTTGCACCTAAATATCTCAGTGACCCATTCGTGAGATTATCCGGGGTACATCCAAGTGAGTTAAGAAACTCTAAAACAGACCTTGCAATACCCATGTTGAGAACTGGCAATGGCCAGAAATCCTTCGCGTATCGTGGGGCCAGTCTCTGGAACAGTCTCGATTTGGACACAAAAATGGCTCCCTCAAATAATGCCTTCAGGTCCAAACTCAAGGAAAAATTATCCTTTTTATATACATATATTTATTGAGGTGTATTGTTGTAAATTTATACATCTTTGATTTAGCCATATTCCGCTCTTTTTATTGTAAATTTATAGTATATAACTTTTTAATTTTGTAAGTAGTTTTTGCAGGGCCAATTGTAAAACAGTATTTAGACTGAATTTGTACCCTGGGTAAATAATTTTAAAATAAATAAATAGATAAATAAATAAATAAATGAAATAAGCTTGCTCAGTTGGATATTGCTGCAGGTTGTAGAACTATGAGTTAACTGACAATCCACCTTTAATTCGAATAATGCATAAAAATATTCCCGTAGTCTTGATGCAGTTGATATGTTCAGAAAATGTCATATTTTGTTGGTGTCTAAGGCGTCTTCCATATGGCTATTCAAATGATTTGATAGTCATATTGACTCTGAATGACAGTTTTGACATGACAGCTTTTAAAAAATTTACGAATTTCTAAGCCAGACCTGCAATTCATGTTCGCTGTGTTATAGATATGTAGACATCTCACAAGAATGCTGTTTTTAAAGTCGGTAGTTAGGTCCCGCCACTCATCGATGATCATATGAGGTTGTGAAAGGACCCAGTGCCTGAAAAATACCTTAGATTCTAATCTGACTAACGGCTTTCAACTTCGTTACAACCATCATGCAGCGCTATCAAGTGCCAGTTTTGTTGGTGTTACTTCAGGTGCAATCAGTACGATGCGATCTTGACCGATGGGCTCTTTTAAACACAGGGACTGGTTTCAGTAAGATTGATCTGAACCAGAAAGCGCTGTATGCAGTCACAACTTCCAATGAATTGCGAATTTTGCAGTCGGACCAGGGGTTTGAACTTGTTGATAGCTCCGTCCTTGACGCTGCTGTAAATGACGACTTTGAAGTTTGGATGATTAAAACGGAAAAAACAATTGCTTATCGCAGTGGAACAAGTGGCACAAATTTGGTTGGAACTGGAACGTTGGGAATCTCTGGGACAGGAATCGGTGCTGCAACAGGGAGACACGCCCTATCATTTCATTACAGTGAAGCAGGCAATCTTTATATAAGGACAGGATTTGAGAGTGCAAACACTGGTACTTCATGGGCATTGACCTCTGGTGCGAACATTGTCAAAGTCTCTTGTTGTAAGACGCTTTGCGTGTGTGTAGCAGGTGTTAGTCAATTATTCTCAACTCGTAAGCTATCTAGTGGTCTTTCCCCAGCTTTGCCCCCTGGTTGGTCTCTTCTAAACATTGACACCTTGGATGTATCGGCTAAAGAAGAGAAAACCCTGTGGAGAGTGGACACTAAAGGCAGTGTATGGCAGGCTATCAATGTTTTTGATTCAGATTTGACCAAAGTTGCCTGGGATAGACGTGGATATGATGGAACCAAGTTTAAGGCAATTTCAGCAACAAATAATATTCAGTTTGGCCTTGCCGTTGACAATCATATTCGTGTTTTTACTGGATGCCCTATTTTCGACTTCGAAGAAAACAGTCTGGAAAAGTGGAACATGACGGGTTCCTCTTTCTTGACCCAACCAGTTGTCAGCCAAGAAACTTATTATGGCAGGGCATCAGGGAAGGTAGGGGATCGACTTATTGATACGTTCTCGTCTCGAAAAACTTACAAAGTGGCTGAAAGTGCAAGCGAAGCCTCACAAGGTAACCATGTTACGGGGACATTAACTTCTCCATCATTTCAGATTACAACAGACAAACTTCATTTTGTCATAGGTGGTGGTTCATACCCATACAACTACGTTGCACTAGTCATAAATGGCGAGGAAAAGTTGCGTAGTTCTGGAGGAAGTCAAGACAAAAACGGGCCCGCTGGAGCGACTCGATCTGGCAGGTATTACTGGGATGTATCTACCTACAAAGGAAAATGTGCATCTATCAAGGTTTATGATTTTGGTACAGGTCCTTTTGGACATACACTTTTCGATGACCTAAGAGCATCTCCACCTTGCTTTGGTAGTATGCAAGTGTTTTTAACAAATGAAGATCACGCTGGGTATGGAACTTCTGGGAGGATCATGACATACAAATTAAAACTGCGGGTCTTTTACACTTCAACAAAAAGACAATTGAAAATAACAGTTGGTTTCCCAACAGTTAATAATGAATCATATATTTACATAGAGAAGTTTTCGGAAAAATGGAAGAAATGTGGTGGCACATTTCTCAGTGATACGAAAATGTTATCCTCGTCGGTCTTCTCCACGCGTTGGCACTCCATGGATTATAAGGTGAAAAACTACCTACTGTCAGATATTTCATTCTTGTTAGTTACACGTGTATATGATCATAAAGATCACCAGGGCACTGATCTACAGAACACTACCATGACGGTGACTGTCAACTATGCAGACGAGTTTGTGCGCATAATTAAGCGAGATGTAAGTGTTAAGATGGTAGGGAATGAGATAGCGAAGTTGGAACTGACCGAGAACTTCCCTGACGGGAGACACATTTTTGTTGGTGAGAATATCAGCTACATTGTTAAGCTTAAGCACAGTTATACACTGTCGTTGCAGAGGGCATACAATGTTAGAATACGACTGTTTTTGCCCCCTTACATGACTCTTGTTAAAGTGGATGGAATGCGAAAGATACACGGAGACGTACTGTCAATGCCGTCGCCATCAAACCATCAAGTTTACATCCCAGAGCTATTGCTTGACGATAACCGCACGCTGGAGTTCGTAATGAGTGTATCCAGTAATCCATACTGGAAGACGAACAAAGAATTAAGAGGGGAATTCATCGTCAACGATGCGGCCTATTGCCAACGACGCAGCTGCACCAAATCAAACCAAACTGGTGCAGCATTGGTACAACTAGTGCGCAACAAAATTTATCAATTTCGGTTTTCTGAAAGAAACAATACCAAAGTCGTCTCCAGGAATGTTTCTACAAGAATCGTAAGCGATAATGGATTGACTTTGATCATCTGTGGAGCTGGTCAGTCTTTCGATAAAACTGGCCTTGGGCAATGTTTCTTCGGCAATGCTACATCGAAGAGCTGGATTCGTCTCAGTGTAGCGTTATCTGGTGTCCTATACTATGATGCAAATAAAATGGAAATTTATGGTGAAACACAGCAGGGAAAAAAATTGAAAGTGTTTGGGGAACGATTTGGAAACAGTTGCTTTTTGAGTGACGAAGATTGGAAGCGTGTTGTGTCTATTAGTGATAGCTTTCTGAAGCCGTCGAATGTTGGCTCTTCAATTGCGAATGGTCTGATGCATAAGTGGCATTGCTGTGGCTAGAAAACATTATGGCATTGCTTCCTCAAGATACTTTTATTTATGAAGTATTCTAAATACAGCATTTCACAAAGATTTTGGCTCTAAGCCCGTTATTGAATATTATAGATTTTAGGTATGCACACTAAGAATTGATTATATTTCCAACTATTATGAAAGATGAACATTAAGGGGCCCTTTACATGAGACCCGAAATGAACTCATGCCGGTGTCATATGCGTTTCGGTAACCTTATGCATTTCGGTCCGGGTACTCAAACGCATGACAATTTTGGTTATTCAAAATCGTACCCAAGCACCTAAACAATAGGGTACCAAAACGAATGGTGGAAGTTAGCATGCAAAACAGTCCGGGTACTCAAACGCATGGCAATTTTGGTTATGCAAAATCGTACCCAAGCACTTAAACAATAGGGTACCAAAGCGAACGTGGAATTTTGCATGCAAAACGTTCAAGGTACACAAACGCATGACAATTTTGTCTATACAAAAACGTACCCAAGCTTTTAAAAAACAGGGAACCGAAACGAATGGTGGAATTTAGAATGCGAACCGGTCTGGGAACGCAAATGTTCTGGTTCATATTGTTCAGAATGTAAAGAACAATCGAACTATTTCTAGCAAGGGGGTACTAACAAGAAGCGGTGCTATGATTTTCCTTGTTAAGTTTATGCAAAAAAGTACAACATTAATGGCGACTCCAAAGTTTTCTTGATTGAAAAGTGTGAAATTTTAAACTCAAAAAGCATTGTGTTCAATTTGTTAATTATAACGTGTCATAATATCGCACTACGATGAAATCACAGGATTGAAACACATTGCGTTTCACAATGTTACACTTTTGCATAGGGTACCAAAACGCATATTACACCGGCATGAAAACTCGTGCCGGCATGAGTTTCGTTTCGGGTCTCATGTAAAGGGCCCCTAAGAGCACAGAATTATAGAAATTTCTTTTCAGACTTAATTATTATTGATTTGTCAAAACCCAATCGTCAAGAAAAGTTGTTTGTAGCTGTATTGACAATGTGCTGATATTAAGAGCGTAAATTTGGTACTTTTCAGAGTTCTGAAATTTGGTGGGAAATGCCGATCTCTGGATTTCTTCACAAATAAATGGTAGGTATTACTGATCTGTTGATAAACTGTTGACACCGCAAAACAGTTTATTCTCTGTAATCATATAAAGATGTACTTTGACTTTTTTTCGAAGCTTTAGTAGAGTTTCATAAAGGAAGCTTTAGAAGTGTTTCATAAAGCACAAGGAAAATTATTGTCACGAATTTTGCTGCAGTGTTTTTTGAGCTATCAACGGCCGAATATTCTAGAAGTACCAGGAGTCAAAGAAAAACACGAATAAAGCGCAATGATTCCTTTGCAAGGACAAAAGCATTTTTCTGAAATGCCTCATCCTGCCCGCCGTCAATTGCCCATTTTGATTTTAAATGTGCATGCTCCGCAAGAATTCCGGATTTATCGGTCCAGGTTTCATTCCGTTTCTATTTAAAGCGCATATAAGCCTAAATGAGATTTAATCGTTTTCAGTTAAACTGAATACGCTGATTTTGAAAATGAATATTAAATTGCGCCACTATTGCGTAGTGTAAAGCCCGGAAGCATTGAATTATTCAATTCAGTGTAAATGCAGCAGAACTCAATGAAATGTAAAATACGCAATGTAGACCTCACTCATTGTTATACAGATAGCACGTGTTTACACTTAATGTATGTGAAAGCCGTTAGATGACGTCGAAATCTATCATTTCGTAGATAAACATTTGATGTTACACCGCTGTAAATATTCACCAATTAGTTATTTTCAAAGGGATTCGCAAATTAAAGTGAACTTTTTGGCAAGTTATTTTGTCTAATTGTGCCAATTGTAAATCTTTAGCGCCCAAGACAAACATAGAACGAACAGGCCATTAAAAATCATTCAGATAAGAAACAGCTAGAGAAACTTCATGAAAGAAAAGGTGTTTCCATGTAAAAAGTTAAACGGAGTTACAAGTAAGGAACGTGATAGGGTATCTATTGTTTTCCCTTTCGCTAGCTCTTCTTACACCTTCAGGGTTTACCCATAAGAATGATTGACTCAAAATTTGACACTTGAGTCTTGACACGTGGTTTTCATGGTGCAATTAAACAACCATTCTCTTTGCAAAATGGAATATATAAGTTCATATGTCAGTAACACCGTGAAGAGTACATCATTAGAGCTTTATTCAAGCTTCATTTGTTTTCCTAGTTTTTACAACGAGCTGCCAGAATCATTAGGAAAAGTTCATGTAGTTGAAATGAGTTTAGTGATGGACGATGTTTGCCCGATTACCTTTGTGTAAGAGCCGTGTTCTGTACTATAAAGATTTTTGCATATTGAATTCTTGTATTTTGTTTTCTCTTGCTGTCATTTTTTTATTTTCTGGAGAATGATTATGTACAAATCATGATTATGTCAGATGCAATACATCAATGAATGTAGTTCAGACGCAAAAAGGTATTGAAATCATAAAAATGTAATCAAAATGCATTATTTGTTCATGACTATATTGAACAGCGAAAGCCATGTCAATACAGAAGCCGAAAATACTTTTCTTACACTGAACGTAATTCAAGATTATCATGATACTTGAAATTAATTGAAAACGTTTACCAACAATGTGTATACTGTATAATTCACAAATACTCGTTTAAGTACTTAACAATGAAAAGATTGTCACCTCAAGCTCCCTTGCATCCCACATCTAATAGACCTCGAGATCTTGTCAATAAATTTTCATGGAACGCCAAAAAGCCAGTGGAGGCTTCGATAAAATGCCACTGATACAGGATTTTAACGCGTGTATTTATGTGCAGCAAAATTGTAGTAGGACCATGAATTATTCAGATTCTTTTTTGGCACACCTGTCTATCATAATCCTGCTCAATCATACTAAAATCAAGTAGGTTCTTTAGCTGCAGCAGAAAGTTGTATTGTTCACAATTGAGACTGATATTTGTTTTAGTATCAATCCAATCAAAAATAGGCCCTTCCACCTATTCAAAACGACTGCGTTCCTAGCAAACAAAAGAGCTCTGTTATATATGAATTTACGTGCCAGTGTGATTCTGGCTACGTAGGACGCACTACCCTAAGATTGGAGGATAGAATAAAACAACATGATCCATCTAGTATTAGAAACAAAACTCATCCCCAAAGAGGACAGCCACCTCGGTCTTGCAGATCTAAAAATACAACTAAAACCTGCAATTCTGCTATCGGGCAGCTTTTACTGGAAAACCCGGATTGTGCAAATAACTAAAATGCTATCGTGTAGACATCGAAGTTCGTTTTCACCTTAGGACTCCACTGGTAACATTCTCAATAGGCAAGCGGTCAACCTCAACAGTCTTATGCGTTTGTGATTGGCCTATTTCGATCCACAACTGGGTATATAAATTTCCTAGCGTAGAGTTTTCGATCTATGCTCTGACGTTTTAAACTCTGAAGAGTGTCAGACGGAAAGCTTTAGTTTCCTCAAATGTTTGCTTTTTTCAAAGCCATTTTTAAGTTTTGTACCACCAAAAGATTGTTTCCAACCAAAATTACTGTTTACCGGTCTGTCATAAAGTGCTCGATACTGCATAGGCAGAGCTGTACACCCTACTTGGTGTGTAGAACCGGACGGCTCCAGTGGCGTAGCGAGGGGGAGGCAATAGAGGGCGGACGCCCCCTCCCCCAATAGCAAACATATCTTTGAAAAAGACGTTTTCTGGCGTTCAAAAAGGTGTGAACCCCCAACTTTCCCTCGCTAAACTCGCCTTTGCCCCCCAATCTTAGCACCCTGGCTACGCTACTGGACGGCTCTAAGTTGTTACTCAAGAGTTTCACGCTTAAGGCGATCATGAGGCAACTGTTGTATCAATTCATATATGCTAACTTTTAACTGCACTGAAATTCTTTGACCGGGTATTGCTGTTCAATAATATTTTGTTTATCAGCATCTGTGAAGTCTGCTATGTTATGAAACTGTATTGCTATATTATGAAAAGATCAGTCAAAGCTTTTTTCAAAATTATTTTTAGATTTAATATTTCACGATGGCCAGCAATGGACAAGGTATACGTACCTCAGTCTAAATAAAGCCTTTGGTGAAGTTTTAAAACTAGGTCTACATTTCAATTTATCTAGCACTTCAGATTACTTCAGGAAACCAAGTTTCAGTTAGAATAGTTACAAAATTACAGTGCAAGACCCAATATAGGACTGGGTACAAGAACCATAGTTTAAGGATTGCTTTTGTGAAATTTTTAAAGCTTTTTCGCATCCCATTTTATCCAGCACGTTAAATAACGCCAGAAAAAAGTTTCAGCTTTATAACTTGCAATGTTAAGAACGTTGTAGTGCTATACCAGAAAGAGGACTGGGTACCAGTACCCCAGTGCGAAAATAGCGTTTGGGGGCTTTTTTGAAGCTTGATATGAACTTAATCTTATTCAGCAAATCGGATTGTGTACATGTACCGAACTTCATGGTATTATTATAACATGCACAATTCTACTGCCATGCGTCTGCACTATTAGAAAACTCAAGAAAGCAAGTTGTTTTACAAGCGAAAAGTTTCCACAGCCATAAATTTTTGCTTATAGGTCAGATCACATTGCTCTTTTTAAATCTTTTGCTCAGTTTTGCATGTTCTTTCCGATAGTATCATCAGATTTGAAAAATTTAGAAGTCGAAATTTTGCTGACCGTGCATTTTTCATGCTTCCGGAAAGGCAACTTCCGGTCATTTGCCAGAATGTTCCCATGGCTTAAAATGAACAGTGGCCCTTACTCTTATTATTTAAACTTTAAAATCATTCCAACCATCTTTCATTCCTTTTTCAAATTTTTGTATCTACCTTTCCAAGAAAAAGTCTCTAATGATCGTTTTCTAATTAACCTTTCAGTTTGCCAGCATAAATAAGAGCGGTTACATCAACTCATTTCTGAGCACAGACAAACAGGAGCACATTGTAGAGGGGAATGGCCCGCAAGATTCTTCTTGGTGAGTACACATTTCTCAATGCTTAAATTATAGACTGAATAGTCAATTTCGATATACTTATTCGTGTAAAAATTCGGTGTTAGGGAGTTAATTAAGCTCGTCAGTTTTCTAGCGGCATCATTTAACAGAAGCTGATTTGATATTCAACAAACGTTAATAGCAACTGCTTAGTAAGTGTGCGCTAATCAGATTTTAGCTACAGTCAGCTAGTTTTCTCTGACATTGAGGCTGCGCAGTTGTCTCTGGAGCCATTTTTTGAAATGAGAACCTTAAACTGCACTTGCGCCAAAAGTACAATTGTGTTGCAAGTTGCAAAATTCGATGTTACACGGTATAAATGGCTATAAAAATGCTGGCAATCGTTGCAGAAAGTAGAACAGAGTCCTTCTTCAGGAGCAACCGTTGCGAGAGCAAAAGAGTTGCGTTGCACAGCACAGGAATTACACCTGCACCTTGTGTCGCAATGGCGTTAAGATACAAATTGTCCCGTGTTAAACTAGCATAAGGTTTGATTTTGGGCTTCTCAAAGTCAAATTTGCAATTACACAACAGTGGGTTTCAACTAGTACGTACACTGTCTTCTACACCTATAAGTGATGACCTAACGCCATGTCTGGACCACACTAGCCACAAGTGCTTAGGATTTATTTTGATGCTATGATTGGCAGTAAGGTACTCTTGCAAAATGTATAGCAAAAGATGAACCCATTATGATCATGCAAACCAACCTCTTTCGATATCTTGTTCATACTTTTGTTTCTGTGTGGCATACCGGGCCTGTTTATCTCATATTGCAATACAATGTAACTCTTTTTCATCAGAACCATATATTTTTTGCAGTGGCTCGATGTTCTTTTTTGGATAATTTCTCGGCTTGAGTGTTCTTTTTACTTTCCTTATTTCAACATTAATTTTTCTAAAACTACAAAATATCAATTGTTTCTAAAACAATACCGAATCAGTTTTGCATTACATTCTCAGTAGAACGATCGATATGCTGATAAAATCGGCTCTGGTTTGTTTACATCAGACAAAATTTCCAAAATCACTTTTACTTTTTTCTCCGAATTTTCTATCTGAGGCTTTGCAGTCTCCTGCTTTGTTCTTAGTTGTTCGGGATCGAGCCGCAGTGTTCTTATAATGTGTGTTCTTGTAAAAGGCGAACGTATCTGCCGTAATATATGGAAACGAAATTTCCCTTTAGGTTTGTATTCAGAATGTCAATTGTATCCTAGAAAAACAGTTCATTACTAGACTTAATACAGAGTCTTTTGTTCCATTTCTCATAGGTAGATAGTAAAACAAAATCGACAGCATTGCTAAATCTTAAAACATAACCATCAAAACAATATTAATTAAAGCGCAACCTATTATTAAATTCAATAGAATCAAAATTTACAAAGCTATCAGAGGAAAAATCAAGCTAATTAAATGTCCTCAGCGATTTAAATTTTAAACAGTATTTTCAATGTAGTTGGCAATTGCCTAACTACAAGGTGTCTCCTGGCAGGAACACGACTTTACACTTTGCACGAATACCTCTCGATCAACTGATTTTTTGCAGTTTTTCAGTATAAATTTTCTTGTGACAACATCGGTAGCTTTACAGCATTGGCAGTTATTTTTAAAAAAAGGCTCTTGCCATATAACTTCGACATATGACGGACAAACACCTAGACATGCGTTAACTGTTACAGCCTCTTGCTCGCAGCCCTCTTTGTTAACAGTTAGAATATACGTTGATGGTCGACAAAACCTTTTCATTTGTAGTCTGTCCCATTGACTTTCTGAACCATTGACAACTGTCACGACTGCAATCAACAGAACCAAAAGCATATTGACTTTTCCCCGTCAAGCGTTTTGCTATCTTTGTAGTATCTAGAAGAAATATTTCAACTTCAGTAAGAAAATAGTTTTTTGGGTAGTCGACAATGTGAATGTGCAGTTTATTTTAAAATAATGATTTTATCAACAGAAATAATCTCTTTTGGTGGTACAAAACTTGCAAATGGCTTTGAAAAAATATTATATTTGCAAACATATTGTAAACTAAAGCTTTTCGACTGACACTCTTCAGAGTTTAAAACGTCAGAACATAGATCTAAAACTCTACGCTAGGAAATATATATACCCAGTTGTGGATCGAAATAGGCCAATCAGAAACAAGAGCACATGACTGTTGAGGTTGACCAATCAGTGCCGCTTGCCTATTGATGTTTGCTTTTTTCAGAGCCATTTCAGAAATTATCTCCTTTACGATTAAGCCATGTTTTGAAGCATTTACTGTCTTGAATTGAATTATTATTGAACTGAACGGTTTTTAATGTTGGTCAGGTTGGCCAGGTACTGAGGACAAAATCTAGTATCTAGAAACCTAATGAAATAAGTTCTTTCCAGATATTTTCAATTAAACATTTATGTTAATACAAGTGATTCCAAGAATTGAAATATCTTTCGAAATTCTGTGCGAAAAGCTTTCACTTTGATAGTTGTAAAGAAAACAGTTTGGCTAATTACAGTATGGGAGATGCGAAAAATCCAGCCATAACAAAGCCTTTTGAAGATATCGAAACCTTCAGGTTCGGAGGCTAGATGCACATATTTACATACAAAGGAAACTCCGCCTTGTTTTTATTGGCATGTATTATTCATTAATAAATTTATGTTTTTGAACATTTTGATATTAAATATCAAGATGCCCGTCATAAATGATTTTGTAGTAAGCTGTATCTGATTCGTAAGCCCAAAGAATTCAAATGTTTGAATTGCGCTAAATTCCTAAATCTTTCAACGTTTAAGGTGATCACTGGCAAAACTAAATACATTTAGACAAATAGTGGCCTTCACATATTCAAAAGGAACAGTAAAAATGTTTGGCAATGTAGCAAAGAAGAGCTGACGGTAATCTGTACTTACCTTCCTTCCCTTGCAAATCTCGTAAACAGCTCCAGTTTGATTTTGGTTACTTTGCTGCCCAACAATATGCATAATTATTGGAAAATCCACCTCCACTCTTAATCTTTGTTTTGTTTACCAGACGTAGTGGGATGCGACGGCAATTTTTGAAAGGGTTTTTGAAAGCCTCCCCCGAAAGAATAAGGCAAAGCAAGTAGTTGCAGATTATCATCAGAGACCCACGGGATGAAATTGAATCATACGTCCAAATCCTGTACTTTGTCATTCAATTGGTCTTAAAACCTATACAATTTAATCTTTAATGAATTGCTGCGATTTTATCACTTGTTGTGTTTGGGGATAAGGACATAAGCATAGCTTGAGTATTTGAGCTTGTCTTGTGATCTGACTTAGGATTTCAACTAACCCCTTCTCCCCATTTCTGGGTGTTTCATATACACATTTTGAAGAGATTAAATGCAAAACGAAAATGACGATGTGATTGTTCTTTGTTGATCAGAAAAACAAGACACTGTTCCTTGTTACCTTTTTTTTGCTGTGTGTTGTTTAATAATGTGTTCTAGCTAGAGGAAGCTAATAGTAATATGCATATTGAATTTGTTGGGAAGAAAAAGAATTGGAAAAAAAAAATGAAATTTGGGACTTGAATAGTCCAAAAGCAGATTTAGCAGCAACTATAGGATGTAGGATTCATTGGAAAAGAATATATTATAATGAGGAAAAAAACAGCAAATCAGGGGCTCCGACAGTAGCTGGAAAGTTGGGGGGAGGTCAAATTTGAGAACCATTATAAATGATTTTGCAAAAGCTCTCTACTATTTTATAAAAAAAGTAAGGAACCATGGCCATCTTCCATACTACCCCGTGTTCAGATACTGGGCTTGCATTCTAAAAGTATCCACAATAGACGTAAGGAGCATTTAAAATATGGGGGATGGGTCACATGTAGTCAAAAAGGGGCACTTCCGTGAGCTTCAAGTGAATATTTTACCTATGTTTCGGAAAAGTGGGGGTACCTGCCTTCTGCGCCCCCTTGTTCCTATGTCTATGGTATTCACAATGGTTTGCCAGTTATTTGAATTTATAGTTGGGTATAGAGATTGAACTCAAATAAAATAGGGGGTGTGAATGTAAGTGAAGGTATATCCGTTAAGGTAGTAAATGTAAGAGTATAAAAATTAGTTTAGATAGCGGGGAAACTCGGAGTAGCAACTTAGAGCTGTCATGTTCTATACACTTAAAGTTCCCTGTCAAGTCTTTGCTCCTGAATCCGATAGTGAAGTTCTTTTTTCGGAACTGTTAACTGTTTTGAAGCTACAACGATTCAAAGTCGCGATTTTCAAGACTTTTCGTGCAAAAATCTGTGCGCGGAAGATTTACAAATCGCGGAAGTGATGCGGGCTTCAGTACTGAACACTGTATTTCGAGTGCGATAAAAACCAAAAAATCACGAAGTGGGTGGAAATAGTGCGATATTTGTGCTCTAAATATCACTAGCTATCTAACTACAAGGCATATGCAAGGTATTTTCTTGCAAAAATTTCGAGCCCATACGAAATAAGCAAACTTTTTGAGTTCAGTTTGTGCCAAGACCTCGCGCCGATCATTTGCCTTTAGTGAATTATCGAGCGTCGAATAAGAATGCTTTTGCGAACAGCTATACAAATTATGAGTAAAAGTCATTAGCGCACAATTTGATTCTATGGAGCAAATTGACCAAGGGAAAGGTTTTTATATTATAGATCCACACAAATTGCACATTTTAGGGCTCTTTCCCCACTTTCCAACTTGCGTTGCCACCCTCAAAGCATCAGTTATCGCCAGGACCGTCAAGAGGGGATAAATTGCCTCAGGGCCTCATGGTCAGGGGGCCTCAAATGTAATGAAATCCATTTTTATATGGAATCGATTAAAAGCAACAAAATTATACCCTAAAGAGTAAAACTTTTTAAACGTTTGCAAGAAAGAATCAATTTATGCTAATCTAAAATTCTTTCGCCTTTCCGTGTTGGCCTTGTCTTTGCGATTCGCCCCGGGGTCTGCAGAACCTCTCGGCGTCCCTAGTTATCGTAGTCGCATCATTGTCGTGGTATCGCGATCAAAAAGTTAAATTAAGACAATAACTACTTAGAGGCCTGGAACCTAGTACCCCAGTCTATAAATAGCACAAGGGGATATTTTTCGGTGTCTATTCCGATCCAACCTTTTTCAGCGTATCAAACTGCCTATTACTACCAAGTTCCATGCTGGTATCGCGATCTAAGGGCTAAATTATGACAATCACTGCTTGGAAGTTCGGAACCCTAGTACCCTACTCTGTAAAAGTTCTATGCTGGTATCACGTTTTATACAATTGGTGACTTTTTATCTTCTTACAGCCCTCACTATGGCTGAACTGACTATGTAAATCTTAATACGTCACTCGCCCCAGCCTTATTTCGCACGACCTGCCCGCAAAAACCCCCCAGAAATCCCTATTTATGGGCTCAAAATGAAAAAACCAAATTTTGATTTTTTCATTTCAGCGGCACTTTAAAGCGTGTACAGTTCTGCCTATACTGCATAAGCCATCACCTGGGAAATATTGTATTTTCTAAAAAACTAGGCTTCGATACTTCGCATTCTCACAGTAAAACCATCGTATGATGACGACACGCTAATTAAAGATATAGGGGTTTCATTGCGAAATGACTGGACTGAAATATTTATGAGAATCATCATTCAAGCAAAAACCTGATTGATCGAATTGTTTATTCGCACAAACGTTGCTAGAGGCATAGTTTTTTTATCAAGAATCAGGCAAACAAGGAATAAAACACAACAACTTATAGGCTTCAAATAAAATTCATAAATCTTCAGCAATATCACTTACTTAAAGCAATACATATTATATTTGGTTTTTACACCTTATATGAATTGATTAATCAGGACTCGAGTTTCAGAACGCCTTTAGAGTTGATACTCTGTAAAAGTTTGTTACTTTGGTTTATAATAGGCTACATCGGAGATTTGTAACATATAAAGAGAATAGTGAGTTCATGTAGTCACTGTCTCTCATGACGTGGCTTTATAAATTTGACATTGACATCAAGATGTTTATACCATAAATATCCCAATATTAACGTTGTTACTAGGTATGATGAGCGTAGCTTATTTCTGATTGCGCTGTTAAAACTACCATACTTTTGGCTTATGAGAATTAATTCATAATACTTATAGAATAAATACTTATCATGAAATAAATTTTGATTGGTTTCGAAAAATTAGAGAAAGGATTGCCTGAGTATGATTAAAAAGGTGATAGGAATTAATACAAAAATGATTAATAGTTGTTAACTGTATTGCTAATGAAAAAACCCCGGGCACTTTTGAGCAAGTTTCAAATTTCAGCAAAATATCCCACCTAATCTACGAGATGTCATTACGCTCATACATATCTGTTTCAATTTACCCTAACAAGGAACAAATAGCATGTTTGATATTTCAAATACTACATCAAAAGAATTTTGTTAATAATTTGAACGAAAGAATGACAATACATATCTAAAAAGGTATCAAAATCTATGTCACAAAAAATATTGTCACTGTTTTTAATGATTCGAGATTCATGGGTTCGTCAAAGTGAAAGGGTTGACACAAGTGAAGGACCACTCAGAGATCTGTAGTGATAACTATCCCCATAAGCCCTGCGGCCAAATTATTGGAGTTGTCTAGCCTGGGTGCAGACTCGACGGCTAGAGTTGTCACATTCCCAAATTTTTCTCTTCTAACTTGCACTAATTTGAAACATGATTCATTTTTGTCGAAGGTAGGCCTAACATGAGGTCCCTCCCCTTTAATTTTCCTTATTTGAATCTTGCTGTAGAAAGGGTCGATTGAAAATAGTTGACGCATGCATAGGTTAGCCTTCGCTCACTTTTTTTCTTGAGGCAAAATTCAAAAGGAGATGCCCATCTTCCAGAGACAGTATGAACAGAGACTGCGAAAATGTTTGATTGAAAGTTTGAAATCAAATTTTTGATCAGTAGTGCCTAGTGTTTGATCCCCACCCTTTCTTGTCTCGTTTATTTAGAAAAGCAAAAGAAATAATTAAAGGTAAATTATAAACAACTAATTGTATGACAAGCACATTCTTCTGCTGAATCGACGAATACCGTGGGGTCCACGCCTTGGTCACAGCTACTAAGGGAAAATTGCTTCTTAACAGTACGTGTAGCTTTGCAACACTGGCATAAGTTCTGCACATAAGGATGGTGACTGATCAGTTTTACGTACGACCTGCAGATTCCGAGGCAAGCCTCGGTTTGAAAACTCTCCTGTACACATCCTGGCTTGCTAACTTTTACTTTGTAGCTTTCCCTATTACAATAGACAGCCATTCCATCCCATGGATTTGACCAACACAATTCTACTCCAATAACTAAAACCAAAGATAGGATAATTCTCTGTTTGTAAGCATCCATTGCTTTAATTTACTTGATAATCTGAAAGGAAAGAAAAAATTTCGATTGATATTATGATAAGCACTATTAATGTAGTGAAACAATTTACAAAGAATAAAAAGATGTTTTTACTAATACTGAGAACATAAGAAAGAAATTCCTTGAAAATGGCATAAAACCCGTATTTTCAAATATCTTGGTTTATTTGGGTTTATCCAAACCAGCTTTTTAAAGCTTATGATAAACATGTAAGCGATTTGGTTGTTCGTAAATGTTTGCTAACAAGTTTATAATGTAAATTTAATGCTTTAACTGGACACAGAACTCAAGAAAAAACGTCCTTTTTACTAGAATGTATTTAGCTTAATGAAAAATTATGGATTACGGTTTATTTGTATTCCTTTCAAGTCTTCTTATTTCATAAGAAGTATTCATAAATATGCAGAGATCAAATATAGCATGCTAACAAGGCGATAAAAACTTTTTTCCGAAAGGAAAAGTCAAAATGCGGCGGATATTAGGTTTTTAATAATGTATCCAGTGTAAATTTATTCGGGTATGGTAACACAGGTCTGGTTAAGTGGGTAAATTAAGTTGAGGTTTTATATGGTAAATTAATTCGAGCACTTAAAAATGTTTTTCTCCAATAAACACCCTTAGTATTACAAGAATGTGTAATGATTCATACTTATCGTTATGTTACATAAATACTCCATGTAATAGATGCACGAATAAGATATATGGTGAATGCCTCTCCGAGTCCACACGCGTTCTTTATTGCTGTAAACCTATCACCATTTACAGTATGCTTACCTTTATGAATTAGTTTAAGATATTCAAAAGGTAACTGGTAGTGCCCCACCGTCAAATCGAAACCGCAATAGCTGTGCCTGTGGACAAGCACAGACAAGCATGTTTAGCAAAATTTATGAATGTTTGACCTGTATGTTAGTTTGCCAACATATTTACTTTCGTGTTTCCGTTGAATGTTTTTTGCAAAGTTAATATTTGTTGATTTCGAAGAGATACGTTAATCTTACCTAGAGAAATCCTTCCTCTCTTTTGATACAATTATAAAAGGAAAAATTTCTACTATGAGTCATTTATAAACATAGCAACATTTGAAAGCGCGTGCGTAGGCTGATCTAAACGTTAGCGTAGGACTTTCAATGTCACTGGGTCGGAAACCTTAAAAGAGAAAAGAAAGGAATGCCCTCTATTGGGGAGCCTACTTTGTATTCAAGAGTTGAAAAGCGTCTTACGTTATTTTAAATATAAATGCAACAATTTTCAATTTCTGTCAATTTTTGAGGGTGTAGTCAATTTTTCTGGTTTACTGACCTGGAAAGTTTTTTTAAAAATACGCTGAATCGACTTTCCCTTTCCGCCCCCACTCGGTGCAGAAATTGTAGATTTAGTTTTTCGCCAAAATTAGAAGAAGAGAGTTAAACATTAGTCCCTTTCTCAGACCTTCTTTTATAATAAATGTAAGTGAGTGTGTTGTACGTCCAATGTATAAAAAATACAAATTAATGTCGTAAAAGTACCACTTTCTTCATCAAAGTTGAATATTTTTGCGACTTTTCTTAGCATAGTCGAAAACAATATCAAACTTCCATATGCAAAGTCGTGATTTTTATTAATTTCTTCTTCTATAATGTTGATAGAGGAAAGCGACAAAAAGCTTCTTATAATTCAATATATTTAAAATCTTCATCATGTTAGCGATGCTTTGAAATCTCGAAGTTATTGCTTTAATCGAAGAGCTTTGTGAAGTAATAGGACAAGTTACTTTGATTTATGTTGACATAATTTGATCCAGGGATAAAATAAAAGTATGGTGCTTAGGCAACAAAAAATGCTCCGTCGAATTGAAATGATTAACGGCTGCAAAGATAATTGCGTTTTTACGTTCGCTTGCAAATGAACATGGGGAATTTCGATACAAGCTAACACAGGCGTTGGGGTGGGAGGACTGCATCGCCCTTATTCAGGCAACATTCGTCGCATTTCAGGCTCCACTCGGGCAGTTTTATCTGAAGGAAGCAATCATATTCAGGCAAGACCAATACTAGAACCCCTTCCTCCCTGCTCCCTCTTAAACGCTAATCGGTTACGAGCAAATGCACTGGAGATCCAAAAGCACCACTCTGTTTTTAAAAAGGCCAATATTCGATCACAAAGAACGGCTTGACAACACAATTTTTTCCTTATTAAAGGAGCACTGAAGCTCGATTTGCGAAAAAATAAGAACCTAGTAAAAACGAGCATAGGATCAGATGAAAAATTAGAAGAAAAAACGACACTTTTTTAGAAATTGTCTCTCACATTCTCTCAAAAACAGATTTTAACAGCAAATCGACCTTGCAGCTAAAAATTCTTTGCAAAAACTGCTGTTTAGCGGTCTTGTAGAAAAATCTATGTCAAAAATTAACAAAAGGAAGAACACTCATGCAAATAATAAGAGCCTCAAATTACCCAAAAAATAAGAACATCAAGCTTCAGCGAAAATTATCTGGTACACTAATAAGGAAGAGTGTACAAAGTACGGTTCGGCATTAGGGATGTCATGGGTGATACATTCTTCGCAAAAATGGCAGATTTTTTTGCAAAGTTATAAATATTTCGAAAAATAAAAGAAATATCAGTTCTTTAATTTAGTGTCAAATAAAAAATATGGTGATTCGGTAGTTTGAATTACCCAAGTTTCCACTTATAACAATTTTTAAGATGTTTGTGATCAACTAAAGCTATTGCCATGAATGTGTACGAGCAAGAATATCATAGAGGTTAGAAGAACTATAAACTAGAGCTCTGCAGTTCCATATGAACAATAGAATATGATCAAATATGCCGCCTAAAACACAGTTATTTGAGAATATCACTTGAAAATCTCGAGGAATGTTGGCTTTTAGATAAAGATTCCTTGACTGCCTTTAAATAAATATTTGATGAAAGAATATAAACTCATGTCCAGACTGTGTACTGTAATAATTGTGCGAGGGCTTTTAAACAAACAGCAAGGATTGCTAGAAAGTTATGCTATTTAAATACCAATTAAAAATGTTTATGTCATGTAGATTGAAAAAGGGAGTGCACTGTGTTTTAAGACCTAAATGACCGACGCTCGTCAACCAAATACAAACCATCATCCTACTAAAAATTGGATATAAATACAAATATGGAAATAAATACAAATATGGAAAAAATACACAGATATGGAAATAAATACAAACCATCATCCTACTAAAAATTGCCACACAAAATAGATATTCTGTGTTTCTGTGTGTTAGGAACAATTTATAACGAGCAAATAAAGAATAATCAATGTTGAGATCTGAACAGCATTAAGAACACCCGAGCCTCGAATTGACCAAAAATAGGATCATTGAGCCTCGAAAAATGTATCTGGTTCTTATAATAAAAGAATGTATCGTACCTTACTCAGTCCTTGCATTCAATAGTTTCCAACATCGATAGGAATACTTGTAATAAAGATGCTCTAGGCTAGGCCGCTAAATACTTCCTCAAGCACCCACATGGGTTCATGACTTAATAGAAATCTCGTGACCTTTCGAAACATCCGTGGGATAGGATTTGAATCCGCCTTTTGATGTTTTCATTTCCTTGCAATTTCTTTCACGTACCTTTACACAAATTTTTAAAAGAACAGAACTGGCACCTTTCAAAAGCATGCGAGCTACCGTATATACCCAAGGTACGAAATATTTGTACAGGATTTTCATTAACATCTAAAATGCCGAACCGTTAGTCATGTCACAGTCAATGTGAAAGTATTTCCATTGAAGCTGGTCACTGTGCCTGTGGAGATTTGGGAATGTACTGTGGCAGGCTGCGGGGCATTGAATGTGGGGATATGACTGAGTATAAGGCGATCACCTTTCAACTCACGAGGCTTCGGAGCCTGCTACAATGCTTGTCTCAAGCTTGGAACACCAATAACATTTTGGCCATTCACAATAGCAGTTTACCATATCCTCGTCAAACTGAGTTTGATTATTTTCCTTAGAAATAAAATATGTGAACTTAATCTGAACAAGGCTATTTACAATTCTGAAATTGTCTCAATTGTAAAATTCTATTTGGGGGAGAGGGGCATCTTTAGCTATTTCTAAATGACTGAAACTGCTTGGGTGATCCGAGTACTATTGACAAATATTGGAGAGTGAAAACAGATACAAAACTGTTTAAACAAACATTCATGTGCCCAGTTCGTTATAATAACTGAGGCTTTCAACATAACATAAGCCCCTGCCAGCCTGGAAAAACTTTTCGGCAAAATTTGGCTAGGTATGCTGAGTGTAACCTAAAGCCTCAAAAGTCGGTATTAAATATTGCAATGAATGAGCAGGGCCCACTTCACGAATTTAAAAGGGTGGGGGCAGGCTAGCAAAAGTAAGGGACCAAGGCTTTTCCCTGTTTTACTGCAGCTTCAAAACTACTTGCTTCGCAAAGAAGTGGAGGGCCATGGCCAACCACACCACCCCCCCCCCCACCCTCGGTGGCGTGGGCCCTGATGAAATAGGGATATCAAAACAATTTCCGCATTATGTTTCAAAAATTAACGAGAATAAACTAGGTACGGGTAGATTGTTTGCCATATTTTCTAAGATCTACCAGGGGAGGATAAGCTTGGTATATATATAGAACTGAAATTGCGCAGTAGGGTGGGTCTCCAAAAATTTCTTGTGGAGATGGTATTTGTGGAGACAGTTGTCTTCTGTACAACTGCCCAAGTCTGTGTTCAGTAGGCTGCAACCTGCTCCAATTGTATTAATGTATGGATTAAAGTATGATTGGAACGAACCGTTTACCTCTTGTGTTTAAGCGGTTTTAATATGGCTAAAGCTAAGTATTGCTGGTCTGTCCGCAAGTTTGGGAATTTTTCAAAATTGACAATCATTTGATTCGTTGAATTTTTCCTAATTCGATTTATTCATCTACAGTAATCTGGCTCATTATCGCTGCAGTTATAAGGGTTTATAAGGTTATACGATAAAAATTACAACCTCAATTTATTTTGAGAAATCTACTGAGTAAATTGTTGGCGATATGGCTCTCTCTCTATCTCTTTCTTCGAAAACAAAAAGCGATCTCTTGTTGAGAGCATCTGTATTCAAAGACCCGATCTACGAAGAAAGGAATTTGTAACCTGTAAACAACTTCAAAAAGAAGCAATGCAGCTTTTCTGAGCAGGCCTAGTTTAGTGGTCACATTTTCGATTGACAGCCAGGCGACTTGTCCTTCGGAAGAAGAACGAGAACACATTTATTATGTTACTGAATTTGAGATGCAAACTCACCAACTTTAGCCGTGTTGAAGAAGAGAGAGGTTATTTGTCGATGCCACCGCTTGCCTCGTTAGATGCGTGCTTCCACATCAACACCGACGTATTACTGTATTTGACGTCCCTTCCGACTGGACAACATGTCAAGGTTACCAAAATAGCGATAATTTTTGCGAAAATATGTATTTATTACTTGTGGGAAACACAATGGAGATCTCGAACCTCAGAACTGAATCACTCATTCACATATCCCACGTTTTTCACTGCCAATTCGATCCTGCGGTTTTACACTTTAACCTTTGTGACACCAAATAAAGAGAGTAATTGTTGTTTTGAAATTCAACAAAGCTCTAAATTAAATGAAAGATGCTCCATGGTGAGGGCTCTCTTGTCCCCCTTTGGTAATCACATGCAATGAATAACATGTAATGTCTTGTCAGAACTATCTGCCGGATTCCTACGTAGAATGTAGTTGGCCGTGTTGCGGTTTCAACAGCCGGTCAATTGCAGCCGGTAAAACGTTAACATCATTACTTTGGTAAAACATGCTTATGATTAAATCCATCCTCGAAAATGCCATGACCCATTTTAATCACCATTGATCAAGGGGCCTAAGCTACTAGGTAGGGCACCTCAAATAATCAAAACATTTTTCTTTTTATAAGAACCATTAAATTGAATCCAGGCTGGTTAGTTTTAATTTTTTGAAATTTTGAGGCTGAATTGTCTTTAATATGTTTTTAAATTGTAAGAGTTTAAGCAGCGCAATTGCCAAAATAACGATACTTTTTGCGAAGATATGTATTTATTATTTGTGGTAAACAAAGTAGGTTGCACACATCTTTTATAAGAAACTGGCTATAAGAGACGAGTGCTGTACAGTCAGAAAAAATTAAGAAACCTCAGTACTCGAAGCAAAAAATTGAGAAACTATTAAATCGTGATAAAACTGAGAGCAACGAAATTTTGTAAAATCCAAGAACATGATTGCCCTGATGCCATAGAAATTAAGACACAAGGGATAAAAATATACTTCCCACATCTAAATACAGCATCAGAAAGGAAGCGAATCTCTTGACGTGATAAAAAAGGTCACGAACATTTCATAACATCATTAATGGCATCATAATTAAGAAACTCTTAAGAAATAATGAGTATTGAAATTTCCAGAAATTAAGAAACTGGAGTACTCAATATCGACCTTGGTTTTTTAATAAAAAATGAGTGTACTCTTCCTTTGTTTGCCGCAAAGTTTGAAAATTCAATAAAAAATCATCCATAGATGGCAAAAAAGTCCCATTTTGTTCTTAATTTGTTCTTGGCTTTTAACCTGTTTTGAAGCTCGTGCTCTTATATAAAAGGCTCCCCACGAAAGAGAGATTCGAACATTGTATGACTGCAAAGGTTTTCAAATTTTTTGATAATTCAGCCCCACCATACATGTCAGAGATGTTCTTACCAGTTGGCCAGAGCAGAATCATTCGAAGATCTAAAAACAAACTGAATCAACGTTTCCGAAAGAAAAACATAGGGCAAAGTTGCCTCTCATATCTTGGTCCCAAAATTTGAAACAACCTTCCATTAAAACTAAAATCTGCAAAGAACATCAATAGTTTCAAACGAGGAGCAAATCACTCTATAAAAATCTCGTACACCTTTTGTGAAAATCCTATTGTTTTATCTGAAAATCCCCAAAAATCCTTTTGTTTTAGTAAAAATCTCGTACGCTATTTGCAAGAGTGAATCGCCCCTCGGTTTCAAACATAAGATCAAAGATAAACTCTTTGATGATCTACAAAGTCAGGAGGATAGCCCCTACATATTTTATTGAAAAGCCAAGATCAGCAAACGAAAAGATTCTAGCTAGCATTTTTCCAGAATTACTTTTTTCCATGTTTTTGATACAAAATCAATTTTTCATGAACACATTTCTTTTTTATAACACCTCTGGAGGGACCATTATGGAAACAAGGTTGTCCTTGTTTAAGGCCCTCTAGAGGGCCCATTATGGAAACAAGATCGTATTGACCTTTTTAATGCTTTCCCAGCCATTTTTTACCTGGGGTGTTTTTAGTCTACGTTTTTAACTTCTGTCTGTAAATTTTATATATCTGTAATTAGATCTTTTTCTAAATTTTAAATTGTAATTTATTTGATGGCAAAATTTTACATACATACATACATACACACATATATTGTAGTTTATGGTCTTCTGCGAAAAAATTGATTTGGTCGAGATGCAAGGAATTCGGAAAATCTTTCTTGAATGAATGGGTGTCTTCAAATTTCTTTCCTTTTCTACGATTTTGCGAAATACAAAAAGGCCGACCATAACAAAAAGTGACCTCAATTTTCATGACAATGACGTAGGCAGGTGAAGAGCTACGAAGGGAGCCCGTGTCTTTGCTGAGAAAAGTTCGACAAAATGCATACACAGCATGAGAAGCCTTTCGAATGAGACACGTTGAAGCAAGATGATGCAAAGGTATGGTGTCTCTAGGCTGTCATATAAAAAGTGACCTCAATTTTCATGACAATGACGTAGGCAGGTGAATAGCTACGAAGGGAGCCCGTGTCTTTGCTGAGAAAAGTTCGACAAAATGCATACACAGCATCGAGAAGCCTTTCGAATGAGACACGTTGAAGCAAGATGATGCAAAGGTATGGTGTCTCTAGGCTGTCATATAAAAAGTGACCTCAATTTTCATGACAATGACGTAGGCAGGTGAATAGCTACGAAGGGAGCCCGTGTCTTTGCTGAGAAAAGTTCGACAAAATGCATACACAGCATCGAGAAGCCTTTCGAATGAGACACGTTGAAGCAAGATGATGCAAAGGTATGGTGTCTCTAGGCTGTCATATAAAAAGTGACCTCAATTTTCATGACAATGACGTAGGCAGGTGAATAGCTACGAAGGGAGCCCGTGTCTTTGCTGAGAAAAGTTCGACAAAATGCATACACAGCATCGAGAAGCCTTTCGAATGAGACACGTTGAAGCAAGATGATGCAAAGGTATGGTGTCTCTAGGCTGTCATATAAAAAGTGACCTCAATTTTCATGACAATGACGTAGGCAGGTGAATAGCTACGAAGGGAGCCCGTGTCTTTGCTGAGAAAAGTTCGACAAAATGCATACACAGCATCGAGAAGCCTTTCGAATGAGACACGTTGAAGCAAGATGATGCAAAGGTATGGTGTCTCTAGGCTGTCATATAAAAAGTGACCTCAATTTTCATGACAATGACGTAGGCAGGTGAATAGCTACGAAGGGAGCCCGTGTCTTTGCTGAGAAAAGTTCGACAAAATGCATACACAGCATCGAGAAGCCTTTCGAATGAGACACGTTGAAGCAAGATGATGCAAAGGTATGGTGTCTCTAGGCTGTCATATAAAAAGTGACCTCAATTTTCATGACAATGACGTAGGCAGGTGAATAGCTACGAAGGGAGCCCGTGTCTTTGCTGAGAAAAGTTCGACAAAATGCATACACAGCATCGAGAAGCCTTTCGAATTAGACACGTTGAAGCAAGATGATGCAAAGGTATGGTGTCTCTAGGCTGTCATATACAGACATGCATATGGAAAATTGATTTGATCGGGTTGCAGGATAAGAAAAATATTGGAACATTTCGAAAACTATGCCCTCCAAGAAACGCTGGGACTTTGACTCCCACCTCCGAAGTATTTTTACTTTATTACCTCTATCATTACCTAATTACTTATTTTATTACCTCTCCAAGGCCTTGAATTTCAAAATGGAATGGCAACGAAGTAGATAATTTTTTTACCAATTGCTGAAAAACTTCTCAAGAGGTACCACGCCCTCTACCCCTGGTACCAGAGACGACATGCCCTCTGTTATTCCAAGAGTTATTCCAAAGAGTGCACCTGTCTCGGTGCGGTACGAAGTTCAAAAGAGTGTCCATAGCTTACAAATGAGTGTCCAAATTGGCGGTTTTACGATCGACGTCAACGTGAAACATTTTTGTTAAAACCAAGGAATTTCATCAACCGCATTCAAACATCGCCTAGGCTGACACCCTTCTTCTGGCCGGGAGGATGGGTGTAGCAGAATTTTTTTGCCCGAAAAATAATAACGCCCAACTTTTTAGGGAGTATACTTTAACACATGTGAGCTTCTTATATTAGTCAAGAAATGATTGAAATGCAGCGCCATCATGATAATACTAACTATTAAGCATTTTCAAAACTTAACACGTTTTCATTAAAATAAGCGAATCTCTTTCACGACAGCGACCAAAAATGTCGATTATTTTATCGATATATTTTGTGAACATTATTTGCATCATTTTCAGCAATTTATACACTTTTTGCTTACCTGCCTATTCTTGTGATTTTTGAACAGTTTGTGTTTCATTTCTAGGAGGTCGGAAAATCATAATCTATTTGTAGAAGGAGCAAACCTTTATGATGATTTCTGTCGAATTGTTAGCATTCACGCTTTCATTCCCTTATCACGGCCAATGGCGTAACACAGTTCAGGGCACCTTGATTTAGCGTTTTTCAACCTTTTTACTACGGCACATTATTTGCGGAGAGTTGTCAATTTTTTTCATTTTTTTAGACCAATTAAGTAAAATTGGAGAATTTTCCACGGCACACGAGGCAATACCTCAAGGCATGCTAGTGTGTCATGACACAGTGGTTGAAACATTGCCTTAGTTTGATAACCAAAGGCCCCCGACCAAAAGGGTGTTTTGACGTCCAGACCTTTAAAGCTTTCCTCAATTTCAAATAACTTTGAAAACTTTGCAAGTTCTTCAACTGAAGCTCTAAAACTCAGTTCTCCCTAGCTAACGAGAAAATAATTCTCATTTTTATCTTTTTCTATTGTGTTTGACATGCTCTAAACCATTTGATGTGATCTTCTTGCTGTCCGTGAATAGAAGTCTCGTAGCAGTATTTTGCTTAGGGCCCCAGATGCCTCAGTTACGCCAAAGCACATAAAATTCTATAGTCACTATCCCTAAATCAAGCATAGATTTCTTCCAAAACTTTTATTCATTACATTGTAAAAACAATTGAACAGAGCTTTGCTTTCTAGATGGGTTTCGGGTTCTTGCAAAGAAAATAATTGTTCTGTCCACTGCCTTCCCCTTCTGGCAAGCCTAGTGCGTTATGAGGGCATAATAGCCGCTTTCTTTTACTTCTTTGACAATCCTCTTAAACACTATTTGGGCTGTGGCTGTTCTTGTCGCGTTTTTGTGTTTTTCACCTGACAGATTTTTACCTTCTTCCTTCACTTCTCAAAGCGCTCACGATTACGACAACTTGATTTTTTCATATCATAGATTTTTAAACATGTTCAAAATGTAGTTTTTTTATACTTTCTGTTTTTAGAGAAAGCTCCTGCCCGAATTTTGCCCGAAAAATCAGCTGCCCGAATCTAGGGGGGCTGAAGACACCGCCCCCAGCCCCCCACCCCGTGCGTCCATTGTCTTTTATCTAAATTTGCGGAGCGGTGAAGGAATTGCTTAATGATAGATTTTTTCAACCTCAGGGCCCGCGTCACCATCAAAAGTGGGAGGGGGGAAAGAGGGGC